CCCCGAGCAGGTTTATGGTCGCAAAAACCAGAGCCTGCCTTTTCCTTAAAATTCCCAGTTAGCACCCTGCTGACAGGAGTAAAAGACAAATCATACCAAATCTAGCCTTCCCTGGGGACGTTTTAATCTCAGATTTTGGGGAAGTGTACAGACATCTCCCCCTTCAGTAGAGGAATGTGAAAACACCTCTCTAGTGACAAACTTCGCCCAAATACAAGTCAATGCTTGACTCAACTAATTTTTGAGTGGAGGGAATATTTAATAATTATTATTATGAATAATCAACTTTAACTTGTCATTTTACCACAAAGATGATTAATGACAATGTAAAAATGCTCAGATAATAATAATAATAATAATAATAATAATAATAATAAAAAAAAAGCAAGTTGTTGAATTGAATAAATAAAAATTGCTTTAAAGACTAATATAAGCTAACTGTAAAAACTAAATTTTTCCTCACACAAATAACTTTATTCTGTTAAATAGAGAGGATGTGGCAACCTGATGAATGTACTGTATAAATATAATGATCTTTATTACTTATACCGACATAGTGTTGTATCAGTTTGGAGAAGATTGTGAGGACGCATTTTTATATTTGCAGGAAAAATATCATTTTCAGAGGAACCTTTTAAAAATCTAAAAACAAGATAAGATAAGATCATTCCATGAAGGAACTTTTTTAAAAGTCTTATTCAACAGTTAATAGTTAATAAGTGCATGTGTTGCTGTAACAAAGTGAGGGTATTGCAAAAGCAGGTGTTTTTAGATGAACACAAAACTTATACAAACAAGAAAGGTATCCCAGTTGTGAAATGTGATGAAACCATGTCTGTGTTTGCTCATCTTGACCACAGTCCTCACAGGAGTCAGACAAACACAGACTCAGAGGTGTTGAGAAAGAGTGAAGGTGCTGAACCTATCTATCTATCTATCTATCTATCTATCTATCTATCTATCTATCTATCTATCTATCTATCTATCTATCTACACAGCTTTATTGATGTTCCTCATACGTTCTGTATGAATTATAAGAAAAACAAATACATTTGGTCCACGTTTTGCATTTATGAAGTTTATTTAGGAAATAGAGAATACACTCATTTTTGTCCACATGTCTAATTGAACTGGAGGGAAGAGTGTGAAAACAATGAAATTTAAGTTGTAGCTGGGGCAGGGGTAGTAGCCACTGTAGTAGTAGTAGCTGCTGTAGTAGTGGTAGGCGCTGCAGTGGTAGTGGTAGGAGGTGCGGTAGTAGTTAGTCGGTTTTGTAGGAGGGTGAGAATGATCTGAATCAACTGCTGTTGACTCAGTCCTGCAGCTGCTGTTGCTGTGGTGGTACGCTTCAAGAAAAACAGAAACATTCATTGTCAAATATACAGCAGAGGAGTTTTTAAGGAATAAAAACCCAAAACTGTAGTCGGGTGTGTTGAACATTGAATTCTGGAGGATAGAGAAAGCCCTCACCTCATCTGAATCTGAGTCAGACCCAGAGTTTGAGCTTGACCGAGCAAGTCGTTTGTGCTCCATCTGTGGAAAATCCACAAGTCACGCATTTAATATTGCCAGTGGTAATGGTGTATAAGACCACTAGTACTGATATTGAGTTTGAGAATGTTACACTTACAGGATGAGCCAAAGCGAGGCTCAGGAGGCATCCAAGCACAAATACTACTTTCAGCATGGTTACAGTGATCACACCTGTTCAAAAGGAAAATAATAAAGACTTAAAATAACCATTCCACCAACCTCACACAGAAAATACAGAAACAAACGATTCATAGAATTACCTTTAAGTCTTCACAACTTCAGTTGACTGTCTCACAGGAGCTTCAAGGAGGTTGTTGTAGTGTTGCTCTGAATGTTGAGCTCTTCTTATATACAGTTCTCATCTGCATACAGCATTGTTGAGAAATTATAATTATGAGGAAATCTTCCACCTCCGCATTATAAGATTAGGAAATAGGCAGACTAGGTAATATTCAGAGACACACCTATGAAGTGGTAAAATGATAGGTACAATTGATTTAATAATTCATATCAGAAATAATGTATTATAGTCAGTTGGATTTGTCTCAAATTCTAAGTCTTAGATCATTTCAGTTTATTTTTATGCCATTTATTATGCATTAATTTCAGTCTTTTGTGTTTATTTTAAACTGTCCTTACCCCACCTGAATGATGTCAATTGATCCAGCAGACCCAGCTATGGGTCTGAATTATCATTTAGTCAATTTAACAAAGTATAAAGCTACAAGGATCATAACATGAAGAACAGATGCCTATAAAAAATTACAAATAGTGAAAATATTCCCACAGTACAGTTAAAAAGAAGGTATATATATGATTTCACTGTTACATTGAAATAAGGCAGAAAAATATAGAAGATTAACTTTATTACAGCCTACATATAAAATCATCCCTCTCTTTTGTGCCTGATTTATTGAAGATTTATAGAATATCTGCCCACTTTGTTTTACTTTTACTTTAAAAATAGTGTCATCTTAAGCCCTTAGCTGGTCATTTGACTTTGTTCATCAACTACTTAGTGTATTTCATTATTATGTTATTGTAAAATATACTAGGACACATCATTTACTGTAGACCTTGACACCTCAGATACTAAATGATCAACTGATTTTCTTTTTACTTTTGTATTAAGAATTTGACTACAAATGATATGAATATCTATATCAAAATGCTCTGCTGACATTCAACAGTTTGTAGTATACGTAGTATTCAGTTCTGAAGTCAGAGGGAGGTGTCTTATTTCTACCAGCTCACTGTGTTACATTTTGGGATTTGGTGGAGCTGTAATAAATTTTGGGATTTAGGGAGTGTATCAGGGAGGGAGTATTTTTTAAAGCTTTAATTTCTAATTTCCTGTGACTTTTATATATTTATTTATTTCTATTTCAGTTGATATTTAAGAATCCTACTACCAGGGAAATATTGTCTTAACAGGTCCTGCTTATGGCCCCACAGGGGTCTGCATGGGGCCAGTCTGAATCCCTTGCAGATTCCTGTGACATCCAAGAAACTGAGGTCTGCTGTACATTGAGTCATGTGTAGGTTTTATTTCTATTTGTGGTCTGGGATACTGTAGAGATCAGGTAATTTCTCAAGTTTTGGTTGTATTTCAACAGTTAAGTACTACCATTAGCTCATTTATCCCTGAAATTCATCTCATGGCATGCTGAAGAAAAAGCTGTGAAAAGTAATTATATTATTGTTGTTATTATATTCCACCAAGTTATATTTTAACTCTGAAAATGTCCATAGAAAAGCTGTCATGACATTGTGCTGATGTGGGTTCTGTCTGATGTTGTTGGCACTTCCTGAATACTTCTTAAATGGTAAACACGTCTAGACACTGTATGCTGTGGAATTCTTAGGTAATCATGTGCACATGTGCATTCTTCAGTTTTATCCTGTTATTGATTCATTGTGTCAAATAAAAAAAAAACAGTACAACCTGGTTGCCATAAAAAACTATACTGCTGAGGTATAAAGGTGGAAACTAATGTTTTTAGTTACATGATGAAAATATGATAATCAGTAAGTATAATAAATACAAGAGAGAGTAAGAGACATATTGTTACATAATTTCGGCATGCCTGTCAGAATAAAGTAGTGTGGAGTTAAATAAGTAAAGCAGATAAGTTTGAAAAAAGAGAGAACAAAGAAAAATATAGTATGTCTTGATCCTTTATCTAATTTCAGTTACATGTTGGATAAAACTCTATAAATGTGCCTCATTTCCCTGCTGGAGGACAAGGAGGCACACACTTGCTAACAGAAATTGCAGCAAGTTTGTCAAGACTTGGCTGGATTGACATACACTGAAGCGTGTATTAGCTCATGTGAAAAACACAGGAGAAAATGTGTATTTTATAGAATTTTATATAAAATAGTAATTCTATAGACTATGAATATAATTATTTTGCAAATATATTAACCTCATGACTCCCTGAGTGTTTGACTCCAACTCTTTCCTCAGAGATCTTTAAGATTTAATGACCTCATATCACCAGCTGTTACATCTTAATCTGAATTGAAAGTACCATCTATGCAGCCTTAAACATAATTTGAAAATACAGAACCTATAACATAGAAGTAACAGTTGACATGATCGCTAACAGGAAAGCTGTGCAGTAACTTAAGGCCATGAAGCACAGAACAATGACCAGTGGATCCATAGCTGAAAAAACACAAGAATCCATCCTAGAGCAGTAACAGAAAGGGTAAAATGTTGGTAGTCCCCCGAGATGATGAAAATCTCACCTTCAAAGTCATGTTGACAACAAAGGCCAAATACAGACTCCATTGCTGAATTTTGGTCAAAAGTACTTTAGTGTCTCCATTTATCACTTTTAAAAGAGAAGATTCTGCCTTCAACCATCCAAAGGTGTTTTTTTATATTTGAAAGGAGTGAAATATAATGAAATTATGTATTTGGAGACATAATCCTAATAATGTGTTGTCCACTGTCCATACAGACTAATCTCACAGCTGTTCAGAAACAGTGAATTGGTGTTCACCGGACGTGATTCATGTAAACAGCTTTATGATGTTTGTGCATGCCTACAAATAATTGATTGAACATTTAAAATATACCAGAATATATAATAAAGTAAAAAAACTTACACCATTATCTGGATAAACCTAATCACTGGACCAGGGTAGCACTTAGAGTATGATTTAACCCCTCTGGTCTTGATGTGCAGTTTATTAGGCCTTGGGCACATAAAGTAGTAACAACTTACTGCAAAATACTGGGAAAATGCAGGGATGGAAGTAACAAATTATATTTACTATATTGTAACTTGTTTAAATATATTTTTTTTAAAAGGTTATTTTACTGTTTTTGTACACAAATATTACGTAGTGAGAGAGTTTCTATTGAATCGTTTCTATGATGCTCACCATTCTACACAGCTTCATTCATGTTTCTCATGCATATGTATTTCAAGAGAAACAAACATATTTGGTCTATGTTTTACATTTCTGATATTTATTTAGCAGAGAGAGAATACAGTATGTTGGTTAAGACAAAAACATTGACATTTTAAGAGAGAAAGAAGCAGTTCTGTCGACAAAACAAAGCTGATGTTAAAAATGTATGTCATTCAGTACTGGTTGTCATTCACTGATTGATCTTTGGTTATATTTCAGATCTTATGTTGTAGCAGCAACAGGAGTAGTAGCAACTGTAGTAGTGGTAGGAACCGTGGTAGTGGTAGGCGCTGCAGTGGTAGTGGTAGGAGGTGCGGTAGTAGTTAGTCGGTTTTGTAGGAGCGTGAGAATGATCTGAATCAGCTGCTGTTGACTCAGTCCTGCAGCTGCTGTTGCTGTAGCCCGGGTGGTGGTACGCTTCAAGAAAATCAGAAACATTCATTGTCGAATATACAGCAGAGGAGTTTGTAAGGAATTTTATCTCGTAACTGAAAGTCCGGTGTGTTGAATGTTGAATTCAAGGGGATAGAGGAAGCACTCACCTCATCTGAATCTGAGTCAGAGCCAGAGTTTGAGCTTGACCGAGCAAGTCGTTTGTGCTCCATCTGTGGAAAATCCACAAGTCGCATGTTTAATATTGCCTGTATTACTACTACAATAATGGTATCAACATATATATCCATACGTATATTGATGTTGAGTATGAGAATGTTACACTTACAGGATGAGCCAGAGCAAGGCTCAGGAGGCATCCAATCACAAATACTACTTTCAGCATGGTTACACTGATCACACCTGTTGAAGGGAAAATAATAAAGACTTAAAATAACCATTCCACCAAGCTCACACAGAAAATACAGAAACAAACAATTCATAGAAGTACCTTTAAGTCTTCACAACTTCAGTTGACTGTCTCACAGATGGTTGGGGAGGTTGTTGTAGTGTTATTCTGAATGTTGAGATCTTCTTATATACAGTCACAGGAGCGGATGTCATCTCATCGGCATTGTTGGGAAATTGCAATTATTAGGAAATCCTTCCACCTCCACATTTCAAGGTGTGACTATTTATCAGAGATGGAAAACACATCTTGCCCGCATGATATGTAGCATTCATTTAATAGATATTTATTATATCAGAAATAATATACTTTAGTTCACTAAATTTGTCTAAAATATAACTTATAATATAAAACTATAATATAAACTATAACATAAATATTAGTTTTATTACAGTCAAAAAACATTTTAGTTAACCACTGTTATGGAAGTAGTCTTGTTATTCTCCACCCTTCAGTATTAGCAAATCGGAAACTAGATGCCACACGTGGGAATACCTGGTCTTGTGATTACAAATTAAGTGACTTAGTGGCTTAGCCAAGTAACAGGCAACACCCAGTGAAGCATGCATTTCTTTTTGACTCCTCTTGTTTTAGGAAATTTCTTGCAGTTATTACCTTTACTACCCAGAAAAGTATGTATAGCACACAAAATGGTGTTTTCTATTTCTGATTTTTATTGAATTATTTTTTTAATAATTACCATCATCATTGTTGTTATCATGTACTGTTTCTAAGAACAGAGATCAAAGTCATAGAAGAAGAAATTAGCAAACAATGTGTGAAGTAATTGTTGTTTTGCACATAATTAAGCATGACTAAGATGTGTTGATTTAAGAAATGTATGGTGTGTCTCAATGTCCAATGTCTGATATAAGTATCAATGCATGATGGGCCACACGCATACTTGTACAGCACAGGTGAGTGATACAGTAGATGGTATACACTAAGTAACTTTCTATGTGAAATTTCTGCTCTGTATTAAGGCAGTTTAATATTAATAATGATATTTTCTTGTAGGTTCTAAGAAGCAATGCAGCTGTTGTATATTGTAGCTTTACTTTTGTCAGCAGTAGCTGCTCATGTGAGTATTACTTTTGGTGACGATGAAACTGAAACTAAAACTTCTCTGTTTTAAACTGTTTATTCATAATTTTGTTTTTCAGCCAGATTCCTGGAGGCCATGGCAGGATGAAAAGATTCCACCTGCAGGTGGACCCAAGATGGATTCAGACAATGAGGTAACATGGAATAGACATTAACAGACACAAAGGTCAGTGCTGCTTCTACCATTTGTGTGTTACATATTTCTTATTGAATTAATTAATCTCTGTTTGGCTTGGTTACGATGAGCAGTCGGTGACACAAACCCCAGACGATGTAGACGGAGGATCAGGTGGAGATTTGCCAGAATGGGACTCTGACCACCCAGTAAGGATACAATGTGTTTAATCTTATAATTAACTGTGGTGATGGTGGTTAGAGATGAACATTGACTCTCTTTTCTTGTTTGGGGTAGACACATGAGATGCCCCCATGGTTTGCAAACAGGCCCACTGGAAGACCAGGAAAAGGAAATCCACGTGGACCCATGAAAGGGACTGATGGGAATGATCGTCGGCCGGGGAGACCTTCTCAAGTTTCTACTCGGAGCAAAAGACAGGTACTTATCCTAGGTTCTTTTTTTTTATTGAGTATTCTGAGAGTTTGTTTAGATATTATAACATAAAACTGTTTTATGGTAAATTATGTACTGTAACTTTCATGGCAAGCATACTGGGCAGACAGATAACCTGTTGTTAATCAATCAGTCAATCAGTAGTTACACAATACAGCTCCCTCTAAAACCACAAATTGTTGTTTTTACGTTTCTGTCTGTGTGGGCATTTAAAAAACAAGATATGTGTTAAGCAGTGAACTGTTGGTACCGTAGTTATATGTGTGTGCATTAGACAGAAATCATGGCAATCTTTGCATTGTGACAGATTTGGGGAAATTATATGAACAAGATGTTACGTTACATTTGACCCAGTTACAGTAAGCTATAGGCAAATCACTTTGTGGTTCTATACTTCATTTCAGAAAGACTACTACTACTTCCCAAGATTTTTACCTATTTCTTTAAAATTGGCACTATACATTATATAGTGGTTATTGAGACTTGCTGCCTACTGACAGTTTATTAGACAATTATTTACTGTCTTCACACTTCTGTCTATCCGTGCTTTACACAGGCTCATGGTGCCATGAGGGGGCCCAGTGGGCATTCTGGGAGACCCAAAAGACCTTCAAGAGGCAATTGGTGGCCCAACAGGAGGAACCCCAGTCCACCAGTAAGCTGATGATGAAATACAGGGGCACTATAGCTGTGTTGAAATGAAAAATTAGAACAAATTTATAAAAAATAAGACAAAAGTGTAATAAACTGGGTCTCAGTAAACTCTGTTCACACTCAGGGACGTGGGAGGGGGATTGGAGATGGGGGTAAAACTTGTAACTTAATGATGTTATACAAAATGTGGCATAAAAAATCTTATTAACTCAATTTCTTTTATTTTTTTGCCTTTTATGTTGTATCTTTTTTATGTCTGTTGCTTTTGTCTTTCATTGTGACACACTATTTGATGTCTGCTTTCAAAAAGTGCTTTAAAATTTTCTTAGACATCCTATCTAAACTGGTATTGTTCTATTATTTTTCTTTACTTACTAACTTTTTTTCTTGTTTTAGGCATTTTCCCCTATTTTCAAGGTAGGAGCACTGTCATTTCTTTATGTGATATTAATACACTTTTGTCAGAACAGTTGAAAAATGTTCTTGTGTTTATAATTTTTTTCAGGTTGACAATGTGACATTTCAGGTAATATCATAAGTAAAAAAAAAAAAGAAAATGTAGAGAAATACAGTTTCACATGACAGGCTTCACTGAATATTACAAACATGTTGCTTTCATCCATATAGAACATCACTGGTGTAACCCTGAAGGAGGTAAACAATATGATGAAAGTTTTAACTTTTATTGAAGAACTATTCACTTTTTGTTTTAAATTACACCATCTAATGAAATGTTATGATTCCACTGACCCTTGGTGGGAAACTCTTGCAGGGGGAGAATGTATTCCTGATGCCAATGGTAGGTGACTTGAAGAATCAATAAAGTTGTATCAGAGTTAAAGAAAGACTATAAAGATCAATGAATTCTAATGACTGACAATCTATCTGTAGCATGGCGGAAGAGGACATCATCATCATCATCATCATAGGGTATAAAAAGAATTAAATAACTTTTCATAGCCATTATTACAGTATCACTCAGCTACTGGATTTTTACTGTTACTTGTTTTACAGGGAGGGAAACATGGTCCTCCAGAGAATGGGGTATATTGGCTTTAATTTCAGTCAAAAAATGTTTTACTGTATTTTCTACTACTTTTCTGTTTTGCTTAGTTTGATCTTTGTTTCTCTTCATTTCAATTGCAGCAATATGTGAAGCTCATCTACAATGCCACCGAGCCGGTAATCTCCTCGCCCACTACAGAATAAAAATGATGCCTGTTTACTGTATGTTGTATTGTCTGTCTTCAATAATAATCATAATTTCTCTTTTTCAATTTCAAGAACCAAGTCTCTGTGGAGTATGGGGTTTTGAAACCTGTAAGTACAGACAGTTTGTAAGCAGAAGGCACCATGTATTTGTCTGAATTGATTTTCTTTATATTTGTCATTAAAATGTGAAACCCCTGCCTTCCATCTCCAGTCTCACCAAAGGCTCTTTGTTTCTATGTGCAGCTATTGCACAGCTAATCGCCAGTAAATGTGCCAGTCATATGAAGCATTTACTGACATATCTGTAACTCAAGTTTGGGCTTGTGTGGTTAGTTTCAACAACTTTCTAATTTTCAAGATGAGCCTTGGTGCGATTGTTGCAGACAATCCAGAAGAAGATTACTGACAAATGTAAAAGGTGAGGGTGTTATTGCTGTTATACACATTAAGTTTAATTTCCAGATAATTACTTTGCTGATTGCTGCTGACAAATCTTATCTCACTCTTTCCCTCAGGAAGACACCGACAGCTTCAAGTTTGATCAGCAAACTTTGAAGAAGATTATGGTTTTCTTTGCTGTGGTATATTCTGGCAAATGACTTATAATTTGACATTTCCTGTAAAAGCATCATTTATGTGCACCACAATTAAATTCTCAAACAAACGACTTTGGCAAAGTTCTTTATTTGACATTTTGTGAAAGCGAGGAGCAGATTCCTGAAATGAGCAAGACCATTTCAGTGCAATATAAAAAGAATCGAGTACAAATAAATTGCATTTGGAAGACTTGCACACTCCAGTACATTTTGCAGAAGAATGAGCGACTGTGGCCAAACACACACAAAATAAATTTTTGCCTGAGCACCTTGTTGTTATTTCCCAAGTTACATCTAAGGCTCAAACAGGAAGGGGAAGTTGGAGTGACCCTGGAGAAACATGAAAAAAGACGGTTTTAGAAAAGTGTTGACTCAAATCCTGCACAATTAAATTAAATGTAACAGAAACCAAGGTTTTGTTTGTGTTAAGCTTTCAAGGTTGAATGACACTGTGTAAAATCATACCTCATCAATCCCTGGGCCAGATGTGTCGCCACGAGGATCAGGAGGAATTGTAGTAGACTCTTTCTGTGTCCCCTGTGGCCATGTCTGATATAGATAGAAAATTACAAAAACATAGCAATTAGACTCAACTGGTGTACATTTGTCTCTTTCTTTGGTTTTATTGGTGAAATTATAAAAGGTAGGAGACTAGATACTTACTTTTTCTGTTTGCACCTTAGGCTGGGAAGCCTGCTAAAATGGGAATATATGAAGGGAAAATAGATTACAAAAACATTCCTGGAGCATTAAATATATACACATATTAAGAATTAAACTACATATTTTATTTAAAACAAATTGAGGATGAACCACTGATGCAGTCCTCAAACCCTTAACCATGGATTTCAATAGAAACAAAAATATATGCAAATTCACTACACCTCTGTTGCAAGCATCATCTACACAGAACTAACAAGAAATAAATGAGACAAGAACTAAAAATGGATTAACAATAGTGCTGAGCAATGAAACTTATAGATATTATAAATAAAATAAATAATATATTTAGATATTTTATATTTACTTAACACTTATTGTACACCAAAATGGGGCTAAGGAGACATGATTTTAGCCGCTAAACCAAGGAGACTGTTTGCGGTCAATATGGCAGACAGTCTACATTGCATCACAGTCACCGCACATGATTCAACATCTGCAGCTGTGTTATTATCATTAAGTCTTTAGTCATGATGACTGCTGCTCATTGTTTAATAAATATGCAGCCAATATGCATTGAACACTCCTATGCTGGTCTCTACAAAGCAAATATGCAATAAGCCAGGGTTTTTTAAATAAAGGAATAGAATAAAATGTTTTGATTTTAAAAAATCAATTACTTCATGTCATATTGCATGTCTCACCTGCAGAGGGAGCTGTGGTCTCTGTGTGGTTCTCTCCAGGGTTTGCTGACCATTGTTGGGCTGCAGCACTGCAGTATTCCTCTGCTGAGGATAGCCGTAAGGAGGCATAAAGTAAGAGAATTCCTGTGGATGATAGAACCAATTTAAATCTGCACTGAAAATTTAAATAAGATATTGAGGTTTACACGCAGGTCATTATGTTTTACTTCATACCTGCTGTCTGGGAAACTGAGGGAATCCATAAGACGGGTACTGGAAATGTGGAAACATCTAAAGGACATTTAAAACAAATTTTAATTTTTCCATATGACTGTAAAGGGGGCTTGGAGCAGATAAAGTGATAACACCAAGCAATTGAACAATTACCTGAACAGGGTTCTGGGCCTGTTGAGGTACATTAGCAGCGTTGGGGTCCTGTGGAGGCCCAAGCTGCTCTTGCTGGCCGTTGGGGATGAACATAGGCATAAACTGGTTGCCCTGGCTGGGGAGAAACAGCTGAGGCCCCTGGGGACGGAAGGGACCGGCCATTTGAGGGTTCAAGTTCACCATCTGTGGAGTGAGCAGCACCTCAGGCTGCTGCTGCAGCACATACTGGGGTAATATTGAAGACCCCTGCAGAAGAAGAGATCGAGTTAAGTTCACATATTCATCTTTTTACATATGTAAAACAAGTTTAATCTGACAAAGAAATGCACATAATATTAGTGCTGATAAATGAACTTTCTGTACCTGTGTTTGTCCAAGAGCTGCAAGAGTTAGTCCATTCAGTCTCAGGATCTGAACACACAAAACGGTTGTGTTAAATTTGGTAATATGTTTCTAAATGACAAGGGATTTACATTTTGCAACCAACAAATATAAACATTTGAATAATTATATTTACTTCATTGCTGTTGCTTGCAAGAATTCCAATCTGCACCTGGGAAACAAACAAAAGAATAACACTTTATCTCTGCTATTTTAGAAAATATGAAAAATATATACTTTAACAAGACAGAGGTTTTAACTCACTGGAAGAGTAATGCTTGTCCTGAATAGACAGATCAACAGAAGGGTTGTCTGGAGCTTCATGATGTCTTACAGTCTGTAAAAACATGTTCAAAAAACTTTATGAATTCTTATACTTACCATGACAGAAATAAAACCTTGACTGAACCAACGAGCATTACAATATCATTTTACCGTTTCTCTGGTGCTGCTTTCACTGCCTGTGTGCCTGCTTCCTCACCTTGTCCATATCCCTTTTAAATCCTGTCCATGTGAGCAGTTAGTCCACTGCCAACCCATCCAGACAATGTGTGGTCAGTGTGACAGACATTTCTCACGTCCTCAGACTCAGACACTTACAACACAGAACAGCTAAGTATGTCATTAGGTGTAAGTCATGTCTCTAAACACCATGACATGGTCTGTATCAAGCTGTTAACAAGTCTCTGAAGAAACTGAATTTAAATTGTATGTGCTTTCTACTTACATTACATAGCAACTTTCCATAGACTGTTTTGCTTTTACAGGCCATAAGTCATTGACTCTCAGTTTAGAGGGCCAGTGTACACGATGCACTTCTTATATGTTCTCTTAAGTAAAGTTTATGTGCATGTGTTAAAGGGTAGTTCAGGGTGTAATTACAGATGTTGAAGACCGACAGGATTTTTGGCATGTCATGAGAAAAAAAAGGAAAACAGGCACTAGGAGCTTATAATCAGACATTTGTCACATGTTGTTCATCAGGCACTGACTAATGTTGGCATCTAATTGGTAAATCATGGGTAATAATTGTTGACTGAGTTGGGATTCATGTTGAGGATTCACAGCAAAAAACTTACACAAAAGTTACACCAGTTGAATGTTTTTGTGAGTCTGGAGAAGTTGGACTGATTGTGAACTTTTCATGTCTGTATGTTTTTTGGGGTCAGGTTTAACTCTTTTTTTTTGGGTTAAAATGCCAATTAAACTTGAGTTGAAACCTGCCCTTGTTTCTTAACTTGAAATGTGAACAATATATCTTTAGAGTTACTGATATAATTAACAATGGCTCTATTCTATTCAAGTGTCCCAGTGAGCTGTGACAATTATTTACACCTTTGCTATTTCTACTGTGACATGCCAGAATGTCTTTCATGAAGTACAACTTTGAGGTACTTGTTCTTTACTTGAGTATATTAATTTTTTGCAACCTAATACTTCTTCATCTTGAAAATCACTTATCTTGGAATTTTATTTTTTCTGATAAACTGAATGATGATGTGTACCTTTATGTGTTGAGAAAAAGATCCAACTTTTTAAGTTAAATAAACTTAAAACCCTCTTGGATCATAGGACCAGTCTGTAGGATTTAGTGGAATCTAGCGGTGAAGTTGCAAATAGCAACTAACTGAACACCGCTTCCGTCTGTATTTGATGACCTGGGAATAAATTGTGAAGTGTGTGGGAAATACAGCAAAACTTGTAAATAATGCAAAAGCTCCTATCTAGAGCCAGTGTTTGCTTTGTCCATTCTGGCGTAATGTATGGCAGTCATGGCAGACACAGAAGGTGACCCATAGCATCTGTAGATAAAGGCAGCTCATTCTAAGTAACAAAAACACAATGGTTTCTATATTCAGACACTAATGAAACATGCCAATGAATATAACTTTCCATTTATGCCAGCATATCCTCCATATCCTAAATGTTACACACAGGACATTTAAAAAAAAAAAAAAAATCAAGGATTTTGTGGTTCTCCAGAACAAAGATACAAAGATATCCTCTTATATAATATGGTGCACTGATGTAGATTAAACTATCCATCTGTGTGAAATGTAGTTAAAATTAACTCAATGTTAAACATCTACAGTGAAATGCAATATACACATTAATTAAATAGTAATATAATTCCCAAAACATCAGATGTAATAACAACATTTTACTGCATAATAAGGACATTTAGTATCGATACATTAAGAAAATGTATTTTACTGCTGCTATGTACTTTCATTTGTGTAAGGTTTTAAATGCAGTACTTCAACTTGAGTTTTTCACAGTGTGGTATTGCTACTTTTATTAAGTAAAGGATCTGAATACTTCCTTTGCCACTGCCTATATGTGACAGATTTTTCAGGTCACCCCAGCACAGCACACGTCTACATCAGTTGTACGTCCTCAGCTGGAAACAGGATTTCTAAATTAATTATCAATTATCCAGTTAACCTCTTTTATTCTTTTTTTCATGAGAAATTGAGGTTTCATGTTGTTTAATCATGCCTGTTTTTAAACTCATTGTCCTTTAGATGGCAGCAAATATCCACTCCAAACTGCAAACATGCTTCATTTACAGTTTATGGTGAGAATTAGTGATTGGTGTAAAATCAGAGAAATTCAGCCAAAAAACTTTAAATCAAAGTGTAATTTATTATTATTGGACAGTTAACATGTACAGTACATACATCTATTGTTTTCTATTCAGCTCCTTTCTAAGGTGATTTTCAAAATAATACTTAACACACCTAAAGCTTCATGATCATTAGTGATCATATAGGTAAAGTTTAATTATCACTTTGATAATTCCTGCATATTTGATCAAAAGTTATTGTTAACAGTGTCATCTTAGTTATTTTCACGACGACCTTCATCACAGCGAGTTGTTGTCATTGTTGCAGCAGGAGCTGGAATCTGAGAACATGCAGAGGGAACAAGGAGTGAATGAATGAGCCCTCACACACTCAGATCAGACAGTGTTGATCATGTTTGCAATTCTATACACCTAAATCTGTTGCTTAAATCTTACCTGAGTGTCCACAGTGGTCTTTAAGGTGTTGTCTTGTTTCATAATCTGACGCTGGAGAGTCAAAGAACAACAGTTATTCAGTGTAGCTTTCATCAGTATTCACATGCAGGTTTACTTGGTTCCTACCCTGAATCTTCTGAGTGGATCAGGCTGAAGCTGCTGTTGCATAGCACCACCTGTGTTTCCCTAAACAAAGACACAAAGTGACTTGTTAAATTTCTAAAGATCATCATGAAATCTGTAATAAATGTGTGTTGTGGACTGAAAATCATTGGTAGAGGTGAGAGATCACCATCAGAGGCTGCTGAGGAAGATTCATTGGTAGCATTTGAGGGACTCCCACGATAGGAGGCTGCCAGTAAAGAAGAAAGACATAAATCAATGTTTTTGTGTGGTGCTCTGAGGGCTGAACAATATCAGATAGGATGTGATGACAGTATGTGAAAAACAAACCGCATTGACTCCAGGGACAGGGTACACATTGGCAATGGGAGCTGGTAAAGCAAAAGCAGGAAGTCCAGGAACAAACTTTGAGAGACAAAGAGACAAATGTGATTATCAGTATCAGGTCATCCTGTAAAATTTTCACTAATTGAAGGATAATGTCAAGAATAAATCATGTGATGAATTATCTGGCTTAATCTGAATTCAGCTCATGAATCTTAAAATGAAGTGTTTTTTTATCTGCTAATGAAAAAGACTTCAACAACACCAACAGGAGAGTGCCATCTTGTGATGTAGTTAGTGTCCAAAGAAAACAACCAATCTTCACCAAACACATCCAATGTAGTTTTTGTGGATTATTAGTTTTCTTTTTTTGTCACAATCTCAACTTTTTCGATTTGTTTACAGCATTGTTTTTACACCCAGTTTCAATGTTCATTCGTTATTATAACCTAATGCAAAGATTAAAAAGTCAAAGTAAAATCCAAGACTTTTTATGTTGCCGTCATCAAAATAACAACCTGATAGACTGACCTGAGCAAACTGCGGCTGCCCAAGGAAACCTGCGCCACCACCAGCTACCATGGGTGGGTTCAGGCCTCTGGCCATCATCCCAGGGATTGCTCCGTTTGCCATTCCTCCATTCAAACCTCCCATCAGTCCTCCATTCATACCTGGTATCAGTCCTCCATTCATACCTCCCATCAGTCCTCCGTTCATACCTCCCATCAGTCCTCCATTCATACCTGGCATCAGTCCTCCGTTCATACCTGCCATCATTGCCGCCAACATCCTCTGCTTCTGTATCAAGAGGGAGAAAGAGCGTTTGTTATTAACCATGATCTAATTAAGATAATTTCCCATTTCTGCATACATTACTACTATGAATATCTCTTACCTTGCCTGCATTGACCTGCAATAAGTAAAGAGACCTGATGTTACATGCACTTCTTTGTAAGATAGATAGATAGATAGATAGATAGATAGATAGATAGATAGATAGATAGATAGATAGATAGATAGATAGATAGATAGATAGATAGATAGATAGATAGATAGATAGATAGATAGGCTTTACTTACGTAGCAGATAGTTGCTACAAATGTTGTGAGAAGGAGAAGCTTCATTTTGCTGCCTGAAAACTATAAAAAGACCAGAATTTATACATTTAACTCGTAAAATCAAAAAGTTTCAGTAATTAATGCATGACATTAGTTAGAACATTAACTATTTCTGTATTGTAAAAACTGGATTACAGATTTGTTATGATCACATTATGATAAAATCACAATTGCACAATACATACCTTATATTTTATTTGTTCGTCTTTCAAACTACTATGTGCCAAGGTGGACTATAGTTGCAGCTGAATTTAGAGCACCTTTTATCAGTCCCGGAGATTATTATGAGCCAATTAGAGAGAAGAACACCAACTTGTTCACCAACTATATTTGTCCCCTGTGTGTCATGAACCTGTGATATGACATCTTCTTTTTCTAGTGTACAAGATTTAAAGAAATGTAACACAGTAGGATGCTTATTTTCAAAGACACTTCACCCCATGCAACCATCTCACATTGTTCTCGACACAGATGAGTGACCACAAACAATAACAGAGTGATTCAGTGCCTTGGGAAGGGTTCGTGGAGGTTTCTGGAAGCTACTGTCTAAAACCCAGTATGAACCATCTAAATGTTGTGGGTTGTGGTCACAGGAGGCAAACAACTGACATCATCATCAGTTGCTTTTATGGAGGAATCATGAAAAACATGCGTGCACGCTTAAATTGAACTAAAGCTGTACCTAGTGAGCAGCATATTGTTTTTGAGACGATGTTTGTGACTTCAGGAAAACAGCTAAGTGACATCTTAGTTTGTTTGTTTGTTTCATGTCTAGAAGTGCAAATGTATGCTTTCTGCTATAATGCTGAGTTAAAGTACTGCCTCAGGCCTGTTTGGAAGCCTGACTATAATTTGTGATGAGTCTATATTTGTCTCGAGCTGATTTCTCCCTACACCAGCCTTAAAACAACACTAACAGCTCAACAGTGATGGCCACAAAATGCCAGACTTTGTTTAAGTAGTAAAAACCTCTTTAACTAATAAACAGCAACAGATATTTGTCTGTCATGTTTCATCAGCATTTTTTCTCAAGCTGTTTTAGAGCTATTACATTCATTCCCAGTGTGGCTGGCTGGGTATGTTGTCACATACTCAGGCTGTCTAGGAAAGTTCTTTGGGTTTTTTTTGCTGCTGACTGGGCAGCCCACAGCAGACCAGGTAAACACCCTCTGTGGAAGTCTGGTCTGGAGCTATAACTTATACTAATTACACACTGTCATGCAGTTCAAGTTAAGCAACATTTTCTTCCTGTTTGCAATTTAACGTTGTGGCACTGGCTGTGGAAATTGGTATTTCCCAATGTAATTATGTAAATAAAAGTGTTGTTATACCCCTGATTCATTCATTTATAGAGATAGATTTTTTACAGGCTTTACAAACTAGAACCTGTCACTCGTGAATTCTGCCATGACGTGAGTAATGTGTGAGGGATGTTTTTCATATTTAGAGAGCCAAATCACCATGTTGCAAGTAGTGGCAGGCAGTGCACTGTAAATAGAAATCTGTACATATTGGTACTTGTCTCTTACAAAACAATAAGTGCCATCAGAGGAGCCACAGCCATGACGTTGGTTGATGTTGTTCTGAAGTACACTTTGAAAGACTTATTTTGGTCTCCAGATGATGTGAAATCAAACATGTATTGTATTGGTATGCTGGAATAAAAACTCAGCAAAAATTCTGACTTCAATCTTTTATTGGTTATTAGTTATGATGACAGTGATTTATAGGTAACATTTGAGCATGAACAGCTAGTAATGAGACAGGATCAGGGTGTAGGAATTAATCATGATATGATATCTGATGATTGACAGCTGTGTTGTCTCATTTTGCTTGCTTCTCCTCCATCCCAGAGCATTCTTCCTCCTCTTCAGCTGCCATCACCTTCTGTGTCCTCCTGAGGCGAGCCGCCACTGAACGCTGAAACCTCACTCTGCCAGTTGCCTGCCCACCAGCAGCGCCCGGCTGTTGCTGGTTGTTCAGGCCGGGCAGTGAGATCAGATGCACTTGGCCAGGGGTCAACAGAGCACCCTGTGGGTCTACTCCAGCATTTCTCTGTGGCAGCACAGCAAACAGTGTGGGCGGCCCACCCATGGCTCCCTGAGTCACCTGAACCTGTGCGTTTACATTGGCTCGACCTGCCTGCCCCACAAGAAATGCCCCACCTTGTTGGAGAGCTCCAATGGGAATCAGCTGCTGCAGAGGAGCCTGACCTATCTGGTTCCCAGCTGGCTGGATAAAAAATGAGCCACCAAGTTGGAATAGGCGTGCCACAAGGGGTTCACCGTTTAGTGGGACCCCATTTTGAACCCCAGGGTTGACATTGTTGCCAGCTGCTGCTCCATTATTATTCACTCCCCCATTAGCAAGTGCCTCAGCACTCCCTGAAGATACACCACCCTCCACAACAAGAGCCAAGGTTTGAAAGATAACCCACAGTATGGAGAACATGTTTTATCTCAGTCGCAGCAGACAGTCTACAGGTGAAGAGCTGCGTCTTTGCTTTTCTTATATAGTCCAGCGCTATATCTCAAAACAACAAGTCACTATAATCATCATGACCATGCTGCAGGCTATTTTTTGCTTTGTTACCTTAGAGAGGGCCATTATTTGGGATTATGTGGCAAACCTAAACCAGGTATCAGTGACTTGCATTCTCAAAACCATTGTTGTAGGGCTCATATTTTCATGTCATGGTGACATCAGGAAAATTTACTAACAAATAAAACATGGTATTAGAGTATAACCTGATGTTTCCACAGTCCTTTTGGGGTCGACTGGGATCCACCAATATGATTCAACAACTTTATTTCAGGACTGTAAAGAAACAAAAGTCATCGTTAACAACAGGGTGCACTGAAATATTCTATGTAATGTTTGTGAAGTCTGTTGCTGTCCATAAAGCTTTAATGAACGCTACAGTGAAACATAGGATGCAAAGACAAACATTTACAGCATATGCAAAGATAACAAAAGTTATTGTTTTACATTTTCTATTGCTATAACACATTGTGTGAAATTATCTATTTAAAAAAAAATTCAGCACTAAATCACTCTAACATACAAACCACAGATCTTTTCAAGCCCGGTACTATATACAACACCATTTCTACTAATCGGCTGATGTAAACTTCTCCCCGGTTTGGAATGCATTAGAAAACAATTTCTGGATAAAATCAGCTAAAAAATAACTTCTTAACCTTAAATTCTAATAAAATTATTCTAGCAGCTTAGTCTAAATTACAGAACAAAGATCAAAATGTCCAAGCTTAGCCTGACACAAAACAACAGCAACGACCACCAACATTTGCCCTCTATAACAGGAGGTAAAATTAGGGTTTGTATGTGTCAGAGATCCTTATATTACAGAGGTTCGTGGAGGCTTCTGTCAAGCTGCACTGCTGGAGCTGCTTCAACAAGCTTGTGTAGTAGATGAAGATAAAAATGTAGCTCAGAATAACTGGTTGACATCCATATCCTCTGTGGAGAAAATAAATAGTAGGCATTACTTGGCTGAAGTGTGAAGGGTGATGAGTATAGAAATGCATGACAAATATAATCTAATCGAAATAAACTGGCAGCGTTTTTTAGGGAACACTCACTGAATTGAAAATCTATTGTCAGCAATTACATTGTAATCATACACTGTAAAAAATAAATGATCCACATTTATTTTTTGCATTTAAGTAAAATAAACTAATTGCTTGTGATATAGTGAATAGAAACACAAATTAGATATGTGAGCATAGCCTCATGCTCCAAGCTCTGTAATTATGTTGAAACTTGTTTACCATAAATTATTCACAAAGCCAGATGGCAGAAGTTAAGACAGTATCTATCTGGTATGTGGTAAATGTGGTATGTTGGTGTTGCTCTCACCATTCTTGATACCAAAACAGGAAGTCCATTCTTTAAAGGACACCTGCTTGTCCTTATCAGCGTCACACTCTTGGAAGAAGCGGGAGGTGCAGTGCTCCATTGGCACCAGAGGGACTCGAAGTGGGGCCAGCTCTGAGTGGGACAAGAATCTGCATGGGACAGAAGAAATATTGTTAGTACATGTTTGAAATATAATGATAAACTATCATTATCTGTATATGAAGGTTTATAGGATCAAATAAATTGATGGTATCTATTAAGAGACTACTAACTCAACTTAAAATCATTAGAATGAGAGTGATTGGAGAGGTTTATGCCACAAATATTTCAGTTGCAAAAATATTACCGTATTTCAGTGTGTGTAGCATAGTGTATTATTGGCTTCTAAACCCACATACTAGTGAAACCCTATAGTAAGCACAGCATTTTTTAATCTAAAGGTTGAGGAAAATCAAAGTTTGCTGTAGCACAAAAGAATAAAATGTACCTGTCAGAGGGGTGTTGGTCCAGTTGAGCGAACTGCCAGTGCACTGGGTAGATGTACATGTTGTAGTTCTTCTCAAAGTCCTGCGCGAGCAGCTCAACGGAGTGATCACCAGCATGAAGACGTCTCTCACTCTCAAAGATTTTCTTCACCTGCAGAATACAGAACACCACAGTTTAATTTACTTTGATTAACAACATACATTTTATTTTGGATACAAATTACACAACAAATTGCAGAGAAATTATATAAATATTACTTTAACCTTTAGAAAATATGTAGTTTTTAAGATTAAGATTAAAATATATTCAAGAAGTATGATAATCCAAGTTTTATCAGTAAGTATTCATTTGATCATCTTACTCTAAAACGCTGTTTGGGAGTGAGGAAGCCAGGAGACATGGAGTCATGTTCGTAGAGCTGCAGCAGCACATTTTTCAGCCAGTCCCTCATTCGTAGGGGGAACTGGATGAGCTCAGTGTCCACACATGGAGGTATAACTGAGAGAGAAACAGAAAAAAAGATCAGGATCAAACAAATGCTGCACCATACTTCAACTAAAACATTGTTGATTAAACCAGAAACTCTGTACAGTGGTTAACTCTCACATTTGCATGACCCAGTGTAGTCCAGATGAAGTCTGTGTCCCCTCTTGGTGCCCTCAAGGTTGCATTTCGTAGCAAAGAGTTCACATGATGTCTCATATGTTTTATTGTCTGTCCCACAAACCTACAGTAATTGAACAACAACCAATAATGCAACAATTACAATTAAGTACAGCATTTGTTGAAAACCATCCCAGTTGATTATCCATACTTACATGATCGAACTCATTCACACTGCGAGGACATTCTGACGGTGCTTGACACACACAGCCTGGGTTGTTGTCTGCATCAAGTTTACACGTCTTTCCACGCTTGCAGGGAAAGTTGTCACATGGATCTAGAAAGAAAGACCATTGACTTATACCAGTGGCATGAATAATTTTTATCAGGACTGGTTTGGTTTTATTTTATAGTGTGCTAACTTGAAACCAGTGAGGTATAACAACTACACAACATCCCTTACATTCCTCTGCCATTTTGAGTTTGTACAGTGATTAAATTCAACTTGATCTCTATCATTCACTCCTTAAGCCTGCAGAGCTGTGTTTTGGTAGTGAGTGTGAAGCAGAGTGACACTATTCATGCGGAAGTTTTAGCAAAACACTCCAGTCAGCAGATTCCCCTGTGAGGCTGTTGAGATAGTGCATTAGTCAGTATGGTCACCAACCGGTAGGGGCTTCTGGGTGATGTACGCCTCCACCAAGAGAGGATCTGGAACTGGGGTAGAGATCCGCTGTGGCTCTTATCTGCACTGGATTCATTCCTACTAAAGGACCCTGAAAAAGTACAAAAAAATGGCCACATCAGATCGTGTTGAGTTGTGTTTCTGGCCACTTGCCCAATATTCATTCTCCTTTTAGCTCTGTTTTTGGTCTCTACCAACTCGCAATTTTATTCGGTTCTGCTCCACTAGATTCACCAGCAAGATGACACTAACTTGGTCTGACTGCTGTCTGGTGCTCGGAAGGCCAAAAACACCACTAGGAGAGCAGTGGGACTGAACCAAAAGTGTAAAATTGATAGCCGCAAACCAAAAATATGAGCTGAAAGACGCTAAAAATCTCCATTAATGGGAGTCACACTGGCTGTCACTATGAGCAACCCCTTTTACATGCAAATAGTCAAATGATCCACTGTTAATTTATAAAATACTGATTATAGCCGCAAGTAAATGTACAGATTACATAAGCATTACCCATTTTCCTGCCCTTCTCCTCTTGGCCTTGTGGACTGTATTGTCAGTGCTGCTGCCCTCAGACTCCTGAGGATCCTGTTGGCCCTGTTCCTGTCCTGACTGTGTCTCATCACGCTGTGGAGAGTGCTTCCTTGCCCTCTGGTTCTTCTTTTGCTTCCTTGTCTTTCCTTTGGTGTGACTTCCACTGTCATTCTTACTTTTCTCTTCCTCCCTTCCAGTCCCTCGGGACCCTGATTCAAATTCTGTATTGCTGCTTGGTTCTTGAGGATCCACATTTGCTTCGGGTTCTTTCTTAGCTGAACTTTTTTCTTTAGATTTGGCCTCTGAGTCCTCGTCCTGGTCCTGATCAGACACTTCATCACTGTCCACTGCCTCAGTGTTTTGTACGTCTTGTTCATAGTCGTCTACGATGGTTGTCAGTCCTTTCTCACTGGTTTCCTTGTCTTTAAAATCTGTTTTTGAAAGAGGCTCCATGTCATCAGCGTGAGGTTTTATTTTAGCAGATAGAATGTGTAGAGGTTGTACGACGCTACTATCAGCAGCATAGTCGAGATCAACTGGGACCTCTGATTCTGTGCTACCATCTGTTTCCTCCTCTCTGTCTGCTATTTTTTCAACAGACTTTTCCTCCTTTTTCTCTGGTGCCATCATTTCCACCCTCACTTCTTCTTTTTCCAGCATTTCTTCATCTTCCTCACTCTCTTCCTTCACTTCTTCTTCTGTCACCTCTTCCTCCATTTCTGATTTGTCATCCAACGACTTCTCCTCCACCTCAGCTTCCTCATCCTCAATGATCTCGCCAGACTCCACCTTGCCTTTGTCCGTCTTCGCTTCTTCTTCCTCCAGCGCTCTTTCTTCTGCTTCCTGCTCTTTTTCTGCTTCTTTCTTCAAGATGATTACCAATTCGTCCTCACCCAACAGGAATGCAGTGGTTTTGTCACTCCTTTCAGTCACCTCAACCTCTCCCTCTTCCTTGTTAGCATTAGCATTGTCTTCGGAGCTCAATTCCTCATCTTCCTGCTCCTGGCTGCTGGCCTCAAACGGGACTAAAGTGGGTAAGATCTGTGGCTTGTTGGCCTCCTCTGTGATAATGTCCTTATTTAGGAGAAAAGATTAATTTCAAACTCAAATATTCATTGTAAAAAATGAAATATCAAATGTTTTTTGTATCAATGCTGTTGTACCTTTTCTTTGGCCGTATGTGAAGTCTTATGCAATCCATGATGTTTTCCATGAGGTTTACTTTTTACCTAGATAAAATGGTCATAATGATTCATTCAGTCAATGCTAAAACTGCAATAAACAAGCAGTTCTTTTATTGCAAAGTGTCACATTTTGAAAAATATGAATTGCTTTGCTACTCACAGACAGGGCGAATGTTGCTGACAGTAAGCACAGGAATACTAAGCAGGCCCTCATACCTGAAACATTGAAATGAATAGTTTAACCGTTGGACAAAAATTAAAATACAAAATGTGATTAGATAGAAACTGATTGAACAAAAGGCTGAGAAAAGCAATCAAAGTAAAAAATAAAGCACAATCAAAACATTATTGTCTGACTTCCAACTAGTCACAACAAAGACATGAACTTGGCAAATCTTTCAAAGTTAAAACAGATGAGTCCATCTGTATGCTGCCAACACATTCATGACAAGCAGAGCTGTGGGATTGGACTCCACTGTTGTCAAGGTAACAGGCCTCTGAGATGCGCCTCTCTCTCAAAAGTCACATTCAGAGCTAAAGTAAACATCAGAAGCTACCAGACTGGAAAAAAGTTGACTAAGTCCACAAACTTTTTGTCTCTCTGAACGGAAACAAAACAGACAGTACCGGGCCTGTCCAGTGGAACAATAGCTCCCTGGTTTGGCCCAGTAAACCCCAAATAGGTGTAGACACGGGGTGAGTGTGTAGGAAAATTCACCAAAAGCAAGTAATCACACAATTTTATTTGATCTTTACATCAGAGCAACATTCAGAGGACACATATTAGCTTTACCTTCATGTTATTTTTAATATAATACCTATATTACATGCTGATAAATGATGCTTTCGCACTAATATAAATTATTTGATCTTTTGAGGAGTTTACAACTATAAAATATATGATGATATATAGATTATGCACAGCAATCAGTAAGCAATATTTACATTTTTGTCTGTATTGTCTGCAGTATGTTAGGGTTAGTGCATCATAGTATAGTATATTAATAGTCACCATCTCTTTATATGTACAAAATATAATTAAGGCATCAACGTCAAGCATCTAAGTAAAGTTCTGGCTATCACAGAAGAGGCTACAGTGTAACCGAGCCAGCGGTCACTGCATAAACCAATAAACAAGTTCTATTGCAAACTAATTAATGAACAAGATGTTGCACACATCTCTATTTGATCATTAACAAATTACCTTTCAAAACAATGGAAAGTCTCAGCAATAACGATTTACCTGAGGCTGGCGGTTGCAAGAGAAATGAGAATCCTGCACAAACACCAGTAGTTGCCTGTGAAGATGTCCTTTTGTATTCGAGACAGCGCTCACACTGTCCACACAAACACACACACACACACACACAGTTTTTTTCTGGGTCTACGGTGCCAATGCTTTTCTAACTTTGGGAGGGTCTCTGGGATACAGAGATACAGAGAGCGAGAGAGAGAGGTACAGAGATCCTGCACTGAACTTTAGGTTGTATGTTTATGTATGTTTATATATGTATCTGCCCACATAGATCTGCAAAGTTAATTTTTCCCAAAGATTAAGCCAGAAAAAAGTCGACACTCCAGAGGTCAAGAATCACCTCACATGTTGATCTTTTGATTAAATTTTATTTACACTTATTTTATGAATTTCTTCCTGACTCTTTGAACAAAGTGACGTTTGTTATTGAGGATAAGCTAGATATACATAGACAGTAACTTCATACATAAGATTATAGTGAGTAGAATGGAAAATGAAGTTCTTTATTGAAGCTTGCTTTATTGTTGTTCACTCTATTGACTACTGTCTGTAATCATGAATTGAATTGCATGTCCAGGTCTCACATTGGATTAAATTTGATTAAATCTTTTTTGTTTTGTGAATATTTAAACATGTTTGTGTTCATGAGTAGGATGTTATGTTAAAGGTTAAAACCAAACCAAAGCGTGAAACATGGTTTTGGTACAGAAATGCATACATTAGGCCACTAGATGTCACTCTGTCACAAGTCTGTGTTCCTGAGGCCATTAATATGACTAATAATAACTGCTAATATTTTGATATGATGACTGACATGTTGATTAACAATATGGTAAATATTTGTCATCAGCTGTGTTTAGATGATATTAACTGTTGTAACAATTATATTACTTTTATGAGATCTTTCTCCTTTGACCTCAGGGTCCATTCAGTGCTCTCTCTGGAGCTTTTGATCATGTCATGTGATCTTCATTAGCAGAGTTCACCCCGAGTAAATTTACATTTTATTCTGAAAATGCATGGATCTGCTGATGAAGGTCATGTAAAATGATCAAAAGTTCTAGAATAGTTACTAAATGGACCTTGAGTTGAGATTGTTTGTTAACAGCGGTGAGCTACGTATCTATGTCATGATATGGTGGCTTTTAGTAATATCAGAATATATCCATCATACTAGTTATAATTATTATCACACTATTGTATCATCATTAACAACATTCCCTACAGCCAATGGTGGAAGAAGGACTTTTGCTTGAGTAAAAGTTATGTATTAGAAACAAAATGTACTTAAAGTATCAAAAGTAAAGGTACCCATTATGCAGAATGATTAATTTCACAATAATATATATTACTGGATTAAAATGACTGATGCACTGATGTTCAAGCATCACTTTAATGTTACATCACATCTTTTGGGTAACTTAATCTATAATGAAACATCAGAATTTATTTCTTGATTATATTTTATATTGATCACATGAAGTAGTAACTAAAGTTGTCAAATAAATTTAGTGGAGTAGAACTATACAGTAGCATTAAACAGAAATAGTGTAAAGTACATCAAAATTGTGCTTGAATTAATGAACTGAGTTACATTCCACCGCTGCCTACAGCCTGTCCTTCTCTCCACTCACATTGAAGAAACTCAAGATGCGTCAGATGCCTGGCCTCATGAAAACTTAAGTAACCTTAGGGCAGTTATTGTTGACTGCCGGTCTGTGTGCCACAACAAGCATCAATCGTCCTCTCCTCCCTCCTCCCCTGTTCTAAAGCAGGACCTTACAACAACTGGTAGCTGTGGTTTTGGCGAACAGCTCTAGACTGGTGAACATCCAGTCTAATTACATGTTTCTTTTGCATGGTTGAAATCCAAACTGAGGTTAAACAAGGAATTCTGTCATCTTATTTTAGGCCTGACCATATATGGACATCCAGGAAGCAATTATGAGCCTCAGGGAGGAAATATAGGAGTCTTTATTTAGGCTTTCTACTGTATATGCCCTGTTTCCAAGAACAAGTCATATTTCCAATAACATCATGTAACACTGAGGACATTAGGTTATAAAATGTTTTTTTTTATTGTATTATTGGTGTATTTAGACTCAATGTGCATGTATGACTCCAGTTAGCTGTCACAAGTTTGAGCTTCTGTATTAGAGAGATCAGTGAATTTTTCCCATTTTCCTTTGTCTACATTCAAGTAATTTAAATCTACCCTTAAGAGAGCCACTACCTGTCACCTGCTCTTTGTACTTAATTAATAGACAACAATAAACTCCAACTACTGGTTGACTAGATTGTAGAAAAAAAACCAAAACATCCAGTTCACCGGAAACAAGCATGACCCCATCTGGCCCTCCTTTCCCCTCTGAGTGGGTGAAGTTGTTTTTTCACCAGGCCACAAACCCTATGGTTTAGTATGCTGAACTATATTTCACTGAAGACTTGAGAGGGGGTGGAGGAAATTTAGTGACTAAATGAAACAACTGTGTGTGTGTGTGTGTGTGTGTGTGTGTGTGTGTGTGTGTGTGTGTGTGTGTGTGTGTGTGTGTGTGTGTGTGTGTGTGCGTGCAATCATTATCGTGCCAGTGTGTGTTTGTTTTGAGCTTTCTGCTCTCTAGAAAAAAAATACACTTTGGCGTGTCGACAGGAGAGACACATCCGGAAGGAAGTGATGCAATCGTTTCAATTAAGGATACTTATATACAGACGACCTGGAGTTTCCTACAGCATATCCACACATCAGGCTTTTACTGCCTCGACAGCCAGCTTCCATACGTGGCTCAGAATATACACTGGGTTCTCCTGTTTGCTGCTACATCCACTGAACAAGGACCACTGACAACTTTTCTCACAGCTCTGATTCAAACAGACAACAAGGTAATTGATCATATATTGACTGATTGTAACATGTTTCTTACTCCACGCTTTAGATCATAATTCATTTTTTCTAGCATGCAATCTTACTACTGGACTGTTGCTGATTTCTTACACTTGGAAAACATGTGTCCAAACTTTCATCAATGTATTGTTAGTTAAACTGTTACTGTACATGTTTAGCAGTTTAAGTGCAAGCAATCTTAGACAACTAATGTGTAAAGAGAGTTGCTCTTAACATAAATATGTTTGGTATTTTTTAGGTTGTTTTTTTAGTGTTTTTTGTGTTTTTATGTATGCAAAACCAGTATCTCAAATTTCTCTCAGGGGATGAAGTCTTTTAAATTGAACTGAATTAAATTAGTAACAATATTAATCACAAACTGTATGTCTGTTACAGAATGAAGTTTATCATAATAACATTTTGCCTCATTGGAGCAGTTTTTGCTAACCCCGTAAGTATAAAAGCCAGAACATAAAATTCTTAAGACAGGCTTTTAAATGTAATTATGCAAGTTAATACCTATTTAGAAAACTAAAATAAAAATGAAAAAAAATAAAAAATCTTAAAATATCTTCTTGATCGTACATATGAATTTAAATAATATTCTTATTGTAAATCATTTCATCAGGTTCTGTGTTTACAGGCTAATCACTGTGACTGACTTTTGATTTCTTTCTAACAGATTTCATACAATGCCGTTTTGGAATCAAATGAGCTTGATTCAAACACTGTGAGTACTATCTGAAATTAGTCCTCTCTTCAGACTAAATCACATTTGATTTACTGCAAGAATTCAAAATTGTTTACACATAAATCATTTGACTGCAGTCAGGTTGTGTTCCTCTGACACAGTCAGCACAAAACCTAACAATAGGCGTGGCTACTCGAAGATTCTCTAGACCTCAAGACAATTTCAGAGACTATTGTTTACAATACTTTTTGTCTAGACTCATTTATGCAGCAATAGCATGGCGAGGCGATGGTTAACATGAATGGATCTTAAATGAACGTGTTGGTGTTGCAGTTACACGCTATAATTAAATATATTGTGGTATGTGCTAACTCTGTTTGTCTTTCCCAGACTGAAAGTTTGTCTGTTTCACAATCATCTGAAAATGACACCTCAGAGCTCCAGGTGATTACTACATTGCTTACAGTAAAACTTATTTGACTTGTTCAATTGTTGCATCACTTTTTGCTAATTTTCAACAAAATCGGTGTGTATTCCTATTTCTGTTGCAGAGCTCTGAAGAAAGTACCTCAAGTGAAGTGAGTTATTTTTAATCATTAGATTTATCTAGTTAAGTGCTGTAAATGTGTATGGATTCACCTAATACAATGTTTATCTTTTCAGAGTCAGAGTTCAGAGTCAGAATCATTAGAATCCACCTCAGAGGACACGGTGGGTTATATCATCACTCTTTCTTTAAACTTTACTGTCATCAGTAAACTACATTGTGAATGTTATTGCTGGGTTTATTCTTCATATTTCAAGGCACATGGAAATAACTGTGATAAAATGGAACTGAAATTAAAGAAAAAACAGAGGAAAGAAAGAGAAAACACGAGTCCTTAGTGCAGACAAGCCCAGTAATCATTTACATTAATAAAACAAAAAAATACTGTATGTGTGCTTATATGCTTACACCTTTCTTAGTGCACTCTTCATTTGACCATAGTATTTTCTAAAACTGTATGTTTCTGTTCACAAACAGACATCAGAGGAGAGTAACAGTCAGTCAGATGAGGATGATGAGGTAAGACCAATTAAATCAAGTATTTGGTCAAATGTAGTAGATTTAATAACAATTAATGTATGGCACAGCATACTTCTGGTCTCCAGTCAGCTCATATTATTCACTGTATTTCCACAGACATACTTTATGGCTGAAACCAGAGATAACAGCATGGGCAGTGAGGAGAATGTTCGAAAGGTGGGATAAACGGTTTGCACACTAACTTGGTTTTAAACAGTCCAGCTTTAGCTGGGATGAAAGTTGAGTGACACTATGCTCTGCTTATTCTCTGCATCAGAGTTGGGTTCGAGAGTTTGCAAGTGTCATCAAAGACCTGAGCGCAGAGGACAACAGCAGCATGGAAGTCAATGGTCTCTCCGACCAACATACCAAGAAACAGGCCACTCATACCTCCACAAACCTTTTACTGGTGGAGAATCCCTCCGACAGCAGTGACACCACCAGCTCAGACACCAGTGACATTACTGCTGTCACAGCTGTCACCAGCGACAGCAGTGAGAGCACCAGCAGTGAAAGCGACGAGACCAATGAGACCAGTGAGACCAGCGACAGCAGTGATGACAGCAGTGATGACAGCAGTGATGCCAGCAAGAGTGCAGAGGACAGTAATGCCAGTGACAGCAGCGAGCTGCAACAAATCAAAACCCAAGACTGCGTGAACGGGACTCAAAGCTGTGAAAGTGAAGAGTATTTCTTCCAGGACATAGGAGACGATGCTCATCACTCAGTGGATAACCTGATGGTGCCAGATGAGGATGAAAGGGAGTTAAGTCTAAGAAGATGATGGCGTGCACTTGTGCAGCTCTGTGTTTCCCACTATGAACTACAACACTATTAAAAGACCTGCCTGAAGACATCAGGATGACATATTTGCTCTTGCCCATCGCTTCTGATGTTGAGTTTGGCATTATAATATTACCTGCAGCTGACTGATTTTTATGTGTGTGTGTGTGTGTGATTCTTACTGTGATTATGATATAGCCTTTAAGTATTTACTATGTTTTGATAATAATAAACAAATAATATAACCATGGTATTGGGTACTTGCATGTTTTTATATAATCAGACTTGTGTGGAAAGTAACATAATACATTTTAGTAGGCCTTAAGTACAGTTCTGAAGCGATTCTACTTTACTTACATTTATATTTATTTACTTATATATTTCCAATGTATGCAACTCTGTACTTCTATTCCACTACATGTTAGAGGGAAATATTGTTGTCCTCTAAATTGTGCCATAGAAAAACGGTTGCCAAGAGTAAACATAGTTCAAATAAACTCTGTGTTCTGCATCTGTAACAACCAATGATGTAATATGCATAATATGAATGGGGCCATTTGCTTTTGATAGCCTGCCACATTTTTACTGCAGGACCTTTACTTCAACTAAACTAGAGTTAGATAACTTGCTAATGTTACATTTTTGTAGCCAACCATTAGCTAGTCAATATAGCTATATTAGATATAATAGGCTTATCTTATTGAATCTTAAATGTTGAAAGATTTTAGTCAAGTAGAATTAGGTGTATTATATATAGATAAGAACGCGCCATTTTCAGCATGAGTTATCATATTAGTATACTTTCCTTTACGATCACCTTACATGGCCGGTTAGCTCAGTTGGTTAGAGCGTGGTGCTAATAACGCCAAGGTCGCGGGTTCGATCCCCGTACGGGCCACACATCTTTTTGCGACTTGATATTATCCTTGTGAAATGACGATTTAATTTCGCTCGACAATGAGTCACTAAGTGCTTTGCAGGAGTACCTCAAAGTTGAAATCCTGGAGTTCTGTTTATCTAGCCGTGTTTATGTTAAAATAAACTTACAGTAGATGGCGACAACGTCCACAGTTCATGCTGCAGAGCTTGCTCATAAATCACTGAGCCACAAAGGCACTGCAAACCCTCACGTCTGTTTTCATTTATTCTGGATGATTCAAATGATGCTGAACTATGCTGGGAATTACATTATGTCATCAAGATGATAAATGTTTAAGTTTCCCTGTCCGAACACAACCAACCAGGGAGTGATGGAGGTGTCAATTAAGAACTGTCTGTCAACACCCACACAGTCCAGGAAAGAAACCACAAGTGTGTGGGTGGACTATGGGTGCACAGGGGCTACTCTCTCTCCTCCTTGCAACATTTCAGACAGATTCAAGCTGTGTAAAACTTCAGCAGTTGCTGACTTAGAAAACTTCAACTATGATGCGGTAACAACTGTCTAATGCAAATATAAGCAAATTTCTCTGGCACAAAAATTATTGTTCTAAACACTCAAACTCCGCTGAATTTTGTTCTTACTATACTATTTTTGTTTTCAAAGCATCAGATCTGACAGCAAGACAGAATGGAATAAGATGGGTAATCTCCGAAGCATCCCACTCAGCAATCACACTTAGCTGTTTCCAGGATAACATGCAAATTCATTATTCCAAACCTATTTTCAGTTTCCAAAGTTTTGTAGTTAGCTGCCTGCGACTCCGGCTGTTAGAGGGCTTGTGAAACCAAGATAACTAATCTGGTGCCTGATATTTGTTGAAGGCTTCTCATCTTTTCTTTAGACATATAAACAGGTGGTCTTTATGATTCATTTAGGACAGAGCTTCCCAAACTCATACACAGCTGCATAAAATGTAGTACTGTGATTCTGCCATTTTCCACAATCTTCCATAAAAGCTGAAAATATATACAACTATTAGTGAGTCAAAGCTACATTTGGACTATGACAATAAAATTACGCTGGTGTTGTACTATCAGGGAAGACATGCTATAATTTAAAATAATAAAAAAATCAGTAGCCAGTTCTTAGAAAACATGTATTACAACAAACTTAAACATATTTGAACATGTGGGAACCATAGATGCCATATTACAAAAAACTGATGAAATCTAACATAAGTGACCTTCCTCTTACATCTAATAAAAAATGACAAGTTGAAAATGCAACTAAAGCTATAGATGGAGATTGTATTCTGGTCACATTATTCAATTTTTTAATGAAACAAGTTTTATAAGAACATGAATCAAAATGAACAACAACAAAAATAACGCCTAGCACACTGGAGTCCTAGGTTGAATGCATAAACGTCCTGACCCAGTGTATCCTTCTTGAGGTCACTTTCTTAACTGGGGAAAGTGAGACTTCAGGTGTTCCTTCAGAGCTGGAATAGTTGGAAGCTCTCTGTGACACATGTGACAGCGGAGAGGTAGTTTCAACAGCTCACTGGTTCCTTCTTTGACAGCGACCTTTCCATTTGTTTCAAGCATCTGAATGACATCTGCAGATAACAAACAAAAGGAACTCATGCAGTAATGGACACAATGTAATACTGTGGAACTTAACTACTCATAAAAGTGTTGCTCTCACCATGGGAATCAATGAAATAGTCGGAGGTGAATGAATTCCAGTGCTTTTTGTTTTTTAAACAAGGAGAGTCAAAGTCTTGGCTGATCACATGGAGGTGTACATGGCTGTAAAAGAGAATATACACAAAATTGTAATTATTTTGTGTGTCCCCATCAAACACGTGCCGATTCTCATCCACGTGAACTTCAGGCTTGAACTCTTCCATTCCCATTTATTGCAAATTGTGCATACTTTATATTGCTGCCAATCATTTCTCAAAGCTTTTCAGCCTGATGTACTGGGGTGATTAACTCATATGAACACAATTCAGCGCACTGGTAGCTCACGGTACATGAGAATTTATCACATATCAAGACTGAGTTCTTATCACAGCAGCCCGGGTTTGAATCTGGCCTGAGCCCTTGGCTGCATCGCATACCCTCTCTCTACCCTACCTTTTGCAAAGTGCCTTACTTTGGCTGTAATGTGTAAGGCAGGGCAATGAAAGTGCATTTGTATAGCACATTTCCTAGAAAATACAATTTAGAGTGCTGGAAATACAAAACACACATTATAAAAGGTCAGGAACCATTTAAAAGGAAAAGACAGAGAAATAAATGCTGCACAATTCAAACAGTGATTATTCACCTCATACTGGGGATAGCATGGTACCCTGTGCGGAAGCGTAGCGAGCTAGCATCCGGGCACTGCTGAACCATCTGATCAGCAACTTGATGCATGTGTTTCACCAGGTCGCAGTGCTCCTCGCGTAAGGCCTTCAGACTGGAAATGGACTGCCACGGGAGGACCAGCCAGTGGTAGCGAGCTTTAGGGTATTTATCTTTGATTACTACTACTTTATCATCCTTGTACACCTACAAAAAAAAAAAAGAGGACAGTGATTTTTAATATTCTTAGACTTAACAATTAAGTCATGCAGTGACAAATCAAGCAGGGATCTAGATCAATAAGCATCACACCAACGGTAAATCTTATTTTTTTACAATAGCTACCTGCATCTTTGGGTCTTGCATTGACTCCTTCAGACCTTGGCTCCAATGTCCAGCAATTCCCTGCAACAAATTTAAGGTAACATGCTTTTGTAAAATATAATAATACTCATAAATGCTCTAGATTCAAGAGAAAAACATCATAAAAACAACATTTTATATACATGCACTTCTCTTACACTGCTTTTTGTGGCTTCTCCGTGGCTGACTGACGTGGGCACCTTTTCTGTCTGTTTGGCCGCTTTCATACCCGGAACCTCTCTGTGGCTCTCTCTGTCTACTGAAGCCGGCTCTCGTGGTCTTTTTGAGCGGTCTTGGCCCCCGGTCGGATCCTCCTTGAACTGTACAGTGTATTGGTGGAGCTGATTGACAATATGAAGCTTCTGTCCGGGCTTCATTTTGACCTCATTGCCCTTACCCACCACCACAGAGTCTATGGAGGTCGGGTTCAAGCCCAGCTTTGGAATAAAGATGGGAGATGACACACAGAGTGGTAAATAAGTAATCATTACTGCAGGCAAACTTAACACAATAATAATTCTTAAATTCAAAAGTAGATTAGATTAAAAGGTATTTAATAACACTCAGCATAACAACTGCTTCACAATGCCTTAAGAGTCCAAAATCAGTGTTTCTTACCTGTTTAACTTTGACATAACCTTTGTTGCATTCTGCTTTCAATTCAACTGGTTGAGAAGAGATAACATTTTGTACAAGTTAAAAATAGCTTTTAATACTTCTAGGAGATTTTTTTTTAAAACTTCAATATAGAGTATATGAAAGCTATATGATCATATACAGTACAAAACACACAAATATAAATAAACCTAATAACATGAATCTATGTGCAATGTTTATGAAATATGTGCAATATAGGGAAATCATTTCTGCTCCTGACCTGGCTGTACATTTAAAATCAGCCTGGATGTACATCTTATGAACGTAAAGATTTAGAAGATATAATTATTGTCTTTATGTTCACTGTTCAGTCATTTTCCTTCATAACGAATTTATGTGATACCATCACTTTCTTTCTTTCATTGTCCACTATTTTCTTTTATATGTTTTGACAACACAAATGGTTTCAATGCCATACCAATAAACCAAATGCAAACTGAACTGAAACTATATATATTGAAATGATATACACTGTAAATGACTGCAGGAACATTTCCCACCAGTATCAGCTTTAAACTGTGTCTCATCGTGTTTAACTGGGTGACATTTATGAATAAACTTTTATGACACTTTTCTTACATTTTCCTTTTTTTTTTTTTTTTTTTAATGCTGCAAGCTACTTGCTAACAGCAGCCAGTGTATCAAACACTAATATATCCTTACAGTACCTTGCTGCCGAGAGCATTTTCTGTCTTTAATAGTCGTTTCTGGGCCTCGACCCAGCACAACTGTCTGTAGGTGAGGCAGTCCAATGGGTCTATGATTGCCCTCCTCGCTAACAAGCCAGCAAATCGGCATCTTATCATCCTATGTAGAGATTTCTACCAGAGCGACAGACCCGCAGCCCACGCTTGTTGTTTTGGTGACTCTCGTCGCAAGAAATCGACGTCACTGGCTCAGGTCCATGCTAGAGGCGGGTTAGAAGATTCTGGAAGAGCCTCGAGAAGGTCTGCGCTGAACTGCCCGAAACACTGTCTTCATATAAGGTTGGGAACTAGTAAGTGAACTGTACATGTTTTGTTCGTACCAGTGTCGCGTTTAATGTTTTAAGTTTAACGGTAGAAGAAAGAAAAAAACTAGCCTGGCTAGCGTGTTAGCATTAGCTTGCTAAAGTACGCAGGGCCTGGTGGATATGAAACCTTGCGACTGTTTTCATCATGAGAGGGGTAACAGGTTGCTACTATATCTTCATTAAGTAATACTCAAACAAAGATAGACCGGTGGTTTTCATGGCGTGTAAAAAAAAAAAACAAGTGTGTTATATTTGAGCCTCTTTGTGTGTTGTTATTGTCCAATGTCTGCTGTGTAATCGTGATGTCAGACTCATAGTCCAAATATAAAAAAAAAAAAAGGCAGAAGATAACATTGTTGTTTACCAGTGCTGGGATGTAGCTGAGTACATTGAAACAAGTATCCGAGTACATATTAAAGGGGCTTTATTTACACTGACTGCGGTATATTTTAGAAGGAGATACTAGCTACATTTATCTGACAGTAATAGTTATTATTAGTTACTCAAAACATATGACCAGTTAATAAAATATGCATTGTTATAGATGAAAGGACCAAACAGTATACAGTTGTTAGAAGTAGCTATCATAAAACATTCACATGCTGCTCAGACAGTAATGAATCAGGAATAAAATCCAGTAATAATAAGATACAGGTATTAAACAAATCAAAGCTTCCTATTAAGAATTAATGTAACATACGTGCTTTTAAAGTACAAGCTTATGATTTTTTCCCCCTGACAGGTTCACACTGAGTTTCTGTTCATTGACAGTGGTTTCAGTTTCAATTCTCTGTCAACGCTTTAACATTGAGGGGACAGCGGGCAATGACAGCCTGATTTCCATATAATTTCCATACTGTGGAGGAAACAGACTTGTTTGGGGAGTTCCAGATTAACTTGTAGAAAGAATTGCTGTGAAAAAATGAAAGAAAAAAAAATAGGATTTGTCATTGAAAAACATATTAGAATCCAACAAAGTTTTATTTTTCAGTGGAACTTTTTCCAATGCCAGTTTTTATTTTTCCAGTCCAGGTTTTATTTTCAATGCCTGTATCTAAAGCCACTGTCCTGGCTCTATAGGGTGTACAACAGATGTGAATGAATAATTAGTAGCACTACAAAAACATCCTCATGGTGTCATTGTAGTGCACTTCTCATACATATACTATAGGTGAGCATTATACAGCAGCATGCTGTGAACCAGTAAGACCAGTGAGATGTTGACATTTTCATACAGGCATACATTGATATGCTTTGTTTTTGCATTTATAAAAGGAAGCTGGTTCCTCTTGTCACAACGACATATTAACGTAGCAACCTAAAACCATTTCATTCAAATTCTTACCGTTTTTTGTTCTTAGTTTAGAAGCTTAATATTGCTAGGCGAGGTCATTCTAGTGATACTATGTTTTTTTTTGTAAAGTTTGGAATATGTTTAAGAGCTAAACTGTAACTGAATATTTGGGTACGTATGTGTTTTACCCTCCTTTTTACTTTTTCAAGGTTATTCGTTAAAGACAAAGATGGTAAAAGAAATGGGCTTCTATAACACATTGGGTGTGAAACCTAATGCTACTCCTGACGAACTGAAAAGGGCCTATCGCAAACTAGCTTTGAAATATCACCCCGACAAAAACCCTACAGAGGGAGAGAAGGTAAGTATCTTTTAGTACACTCATAAACATTAACATTAGCAGCTATTTCATTTTTCTTGCATGGAAAGGGCAAATGTATACGGAAAAAATATATATTTCAATACTGTAAATACAGCTTTATTAATGTGAAAAATCTATCTGGATGTCAGATATTACTAAATCCATTGATCTAATGAGTAAGATGAAACCAGGTATGAGTAGTTTTTGTTTAATCTGTCTTTGTTTCTCTTTGGTAGATTTATCAAAATTTTCTTGTTGCATTTGTAGAGGCCATATAAAAGTATAAGAGTAGTATTTAAAGACCTCCCTTATTATTTTTCACACACTGTCAAAGAGCTGAATTTGTTTTAAGCAGCTGTATATTGCCAAAATGTTTCTTGACCCCCTTCAAAGAAGTATGTTGTTGTTTCTTATCTTTTCTAGTTCAAGCAGATCTCACAGGCATATGAGGTGTTGTCAGATGCCAAGAAGAGAGACCTTTATGACCGTGGAGGTGAAAAGGCTATAAAGGAAGGAGGGACTGGTGGTGGCGGCGGTGGCTGTGCATCGCCAATGGACATCTTTGACTTGTTTTTTGGTGGGGGCAGTCGGATGCACAGAGAGCGAAAAGGTAGGGGAGGAAATATTAGTGAAATAATCACTAAGCTGAGATGATGTTTGAAGTTTGTAAAGTGTCTGTATTTCTGGTTTGAAAGTTTTGCGATATGATTGAGTTATATAAATCAAGAGCCAGGGCCAGTTCTTTTGAGGAGGAAATTGCAGTGTTGAACACACTCAATTTACTGTTATGTTAGACCAAGAAAAGCAGCAAATTCTCACATTTGGGAACATGGAGTCATCAAATGTTTAACATTTTTGCTTGTAAATGAATGACAGTTAACCGGTTATCAAAATAGTGCTACTCATTTTCTTTCAATTGGTCAATTATCACAGCTCTATTAGATAAATTATTAGCAATAGTTCAGTGACAGTATATTGTTATCAGCATATGTCAGCCAATAAATGACAAGAAATTAAGGTACAGAAATGCCATCATCATTCTGTTTGTCTCTTGTTCACCAAAAACAAGTTTATTTTTTCAACTTTGTCTTGCCCAATACATTTATTGGATGCAATTGTTCAAAAAAAAAATGGGGAATTGTTTTAGGAACCTTATCCAAAATGTTTATTTATAGCCTGTAAAAATAAAATGAGTACTGGCTAATATATCATTTGATTTTTCACATATCAACATTGGTATCAGACTAAAAATCCCTGTACACAGTCGGCTATAAGCTCTACACTGGAACACGTTTGACATAAGCGGTTTTCATTTTCTCCCTGCAGCTGTTCTTTTAAAGGGAACAAAACAAGAATGAATCTTGAATCCATTTTTGTTTGTGAGGAATTACATTATATATATATAGCTCAAACACAGGACTGTGGAGCAAGCATGACAGACAAAGTCTTAAATGGCTGTACATCAACTATCTTATTTGTGACTTTGCAGTTTGGCTAATGAAAAACAGTTTCAAATGAAGAAGTAAACACACAACTGCTCCCCATCTGTAGCCGAGTGTCATCTTCCATTACTTATTATTTGTAGTTTAGAAATAGTAGCAGAAATAGGCTTGTTTATTTCAGCATATGTAATATGCAATATGAGAGGAAACTGATGCTATGGAACCAGAAACAAGGAGTGTGTATTGATGATTGAATGAAATTGCCAACTTTATTCCAAGAAACAGCATTGCTAAAGTCTGTGATTTGTTTTGCCCCAGGCAAGAACATTGTTCATCAGATTTCAGTGACACTGGAAGATCTTTATAACGGGGCTACAAGGAAACTTGCTCTCCAGAAGAATACCATTTGTGAGAGATGTGAAGGTACGTCTTTTGCTACGCGAGTTACTAGTCTTGTTAGCATCCATCACTGAACTTGTTAAGTAATCTGAGCAGGCTTTTCAGCACACACAGGCCATGATAAGGCTCTTTGTCCGATAACAAAGCAAGTCAGTCTTGTAAATGTAATCCAGTCCTTGCTCACCAGGTCACCAAAGCTTTATATAAACCTAAAACAAAAATAGCCTTCATCTTTGTTATTCAGCGTGCTGACAGTTTATTTTTTTCTTGGCAGGTCGTGGGAGTCGGAAAGGAGCCGCACAGGTGTGCATGACTTGCCATGGTACGGGCATGCAGGTTCACATGCACCAACTGTTACCAGGTATGGTCCAGCAAGTGTCCACAGTGTGCCACAGCTGTCAGGGCCAAGGACAGCGAATCAGCCACAAGGACCGCTGCAAAGCATGTGGGGGTCGAAAGATCCTGCGGCAGAAGAAGATTTTGGAGGTCCACATTGACAAAGGTGAGAGATAAGGGAGAGTTTTTCTAAATGCAACTGTCACTGACAGAAGACTGAAGCAGAAAACCAAATATTGCACATCCATCACCTGTTCACTAAACTGCCGCAGGAATGAGAGATGGCCAGAAGATCGTTTTCCATGGAGAGGGAGACCAGGAGCCAGGAATTGAACCAGGGGATATCATTATTGTCTTGGACCAGCGAGAGCATCCACAATTCACCAGGTAATATATTCCCTGTCAGCAAGTGTCTTTTATTTCTAATGCAATTACATCAGATACATGATATTATGCTTTTGGGGATAATAGGTGCAGGGTAGCATGGTGAAACGTGAGGAAGACAAAAAGTGCCGGAAGGGAGGTGTGCTGGAAAAATAAGCAGGCTTTTATTTGTAGATAAATAAAAGATAAAAGATTAAAAAAACATGTAAAAAGTAAAACGTGGAGAAAACAGCCCGGGTGCTGCCCCTCACAAAACAGGTCGTATTTCTAGTTCACAAGGGAACAAGAAATATATATTGTTTTCTTCACTTAATGTCTTTTTTTAAAATATGTCTTTAAGGAATACAATTAATTCTCGCTACTGTCTGTTTTAATTGATATTAGAACTATAAATTAAATTAAGAATACAAAATGAAACAGAAAGTCCACCTAGTACCACCAAGTAAAAAGTGAGGGAGTTGGTGCTTCCTTGCAAAGTAGAAGCATCAATTCTAGTCTGTAGAGGTCAGTAAAAATATTATTACTCAAAAGTCCCACTTGACATTGCATCCTGTTTGGAGTGGAACATGATTAAATTTAAATTAGACGAGTTACATTTTTATTAAATCTACCCACTAGTCATCATAGTAGTTGGCATGGTACCCTGTGATACATAGCAGCACACTCCCAACCACAGTCAACCCAGTAAAATCACCTCTGCTTTTTTTCCCCACGACTTGCTGTCATCAGGAAAGGAGAGGACCTGATCATGTCAATGGAGCTGCAGCTGGTTGAGGCTTTGTGTGGTTTCAAGAAGCCTGTTCAGACACTGGACAACAGAACTCTCCTCATCACCTCAAGTCCAGGTAACTATGTCTTTAAATACACAGCTCTTAAATTGCCAGATGTTTAGTTGGCGATCAGACTTAATGCCTTAAAGTGTCCTCTTTATACTTCTTGTTATTATTGTATGATTTATATTGAATATCAGTGAGTTGAGGGGTAAGCTTTCCCATTATTGGAAATGACCAGTGTATATAAAAGAATAAAGCATCTGTTTTAAATGTAAAAATCAAATCATCAAATGCCTCTCTGTACTAAAGCTTGTACCTCTCAATCAGTGTAGGCCACCCAACACCCAACCTTTACCATAAAACTACAAAGAATAAACCACAAACTCATTCTTAATCAGCTCAGTTACTTTAATAAAGAATAAATAAATGATGATCCAAGCCCCCCCCATGCATCCATCAGGCATTGGCAAGAGTATTTCAAATGACAACCGGATGTGGACTATAGTTTTCATGTTTTTAGTTTTTAATGATTAATGTGACTCATGTTTTGTTTTTTAATCACAGGGACATTGATCAAACCTGGAGACACGAAGTGCGTCTTAAATGAGGGGATGCCCATGCATCGCAGACCATTTGAGAAGGGACGCCTTATTATTAATTTCTCGGTAAGAAGTTTTTAAATATCCACTTTTTAATCGATCTCCCCTTTTATTTATCTATTTTTATTTTATTTTATGCATGCTTTCCTTAAAATAAATCAGTCACACACACACACACACACACACAAAATGCCCATACATGACTATCTGCACTATATAAACCCCCATCTTTCACTTTTACCCCATTCTCTGTGCGAGTCTTCATAATGTAAAGCTTGTCACACTGTCTTGTCTATCACATCTGTCCTATGTTATCACCTGTTATGTTTAGTCTTGGTTCACCAATGAAATACCAACGAACAGAAAAGAGAAGTCAGCGGTTTTACACATGAACCTCAATATATAAAACTGACAGTGCCGAATGGTTACATGGTTGTTGTAAGCAAATAGTTTACGGTTGCTTCCTGTAGGTGGTGTTCCCACAAGCCAATTTCCTGCCCAATCCGAAGCTGAAGGAGCTGGAGCGCTACCTCCCCGAAAAGCTGGATGCAGAACAGCCGGACAGTATGGACGATGACCTCTACATCTACGCCGACCTGGAGGACTGTGACTTGGAGAACAGAAAAAGACGCAACCATCAGTACTACTACATGGATGAAGACGACTGCACTGGAGGTGTTCAGTGCCAGACATCTTAAATAACAACTGGCCTGTTCTTATGCCACAAGCCCGCACCCTCATCTCTAAAGCAAGGCACCTTTTGGGATTTTTTTTGTGCACTTTTTATTTAATTACTTCTCTTAAAAATCGTAACTGTTTACTTGTTGAAGTTTTCTTTCAGGCTGATGCATAAACCTCATGATTTATTACAATACTTTTTGGATGGAGTAGAGTATCTTACAGTCACAGGACTACACTCGGATCTGGGTGAACAGGATTCCTTGTCATCTCTGGGACGTTTTTTTTTTTTTTTTTCCTTTTTTTTTTTCCCCAGTCACACTGTGATTAGAGTCGAGGGCTGATATTACAGGGGCTTCAGAAGAAAGAAAAACTTCTTTGTTTAAACAAAGACTGCCAGCTTGTCATGCAGTTACACTAAAGCGGATGCCAATACTAATATGAAAATAACCTTTTTTATAGTGTTACTAAATCAGTTGTTGTGAACCACTCGTTGATGACTTGTTCAATCTTGTGTGTGTGTGTGTGTGTGTGTGTGTGTGTGTGTGTGTGTGTGTGTGTGGTGAAGACTCAATCTTCAGACGGTGGCGGAGAGGGATGTGCATGGAGACTTGAGTTCAAACTTTTGTGCTGTTTTACCCTTTCAAGGGCTATTTTCTAGACATTTGTAAACAATCTTAAAAATGTGACAAGAAGATACAAGTTGGGTGTAAAGGTGATGATGATTCAGGCTTCGCAGTATGTAGGTTCAGGCCACTCAATTCTGCATTATTCCAACTGATATTTAAATTCTGTTTGTACTTTCGAGCTGCAATCATTCGTCTGTGGCGATGCGGCACATTTGTTTTTGTTTTGGAAACCTTGTGTTGAAAGCGGAAAATGTCATGTGTATATACAACACTGTTTGATATGAGCCAAATATGTCTGCAGTTAATGGCAGGGGCAGGTATTCAGAAACAAAATGTCAAAGATGAGTAAGTCACTTTATTTTTTCAAACAATTAACAGATTTGGGAGGGTTTCCGAGCACTGAAGCTAAGAAGGCATATTTTAACGTGATTCTATATTCCATATTTTATGTGCTTAAAGTTGCCTGATAACTCTGTAAACCTTCTTCTTGTAACAGGCCCATAATGCCTTAATGGCAAACGTTTTCCCTCTCTTTAAACAGTGCCAAGTGGCACCCAAGTTGTACAAAGAAGAATGGCTAATGTCTTGGTTTGTTTAGAAGTTGAGTGTTCTTGAGATTATTTCGGGTGTACGATTTTTTTAATCATTAGAAAATGAAGAGTTCAGTTATGTAAATTTGGAATTTCCATGACAAATTTTAATCATACTAGCAATTTAAAGTAGTTGATGGCTTTTTGCTCCTGTTGGCCCACAAGCTATTATGTGTGTCTTTTGTCATATTTCTAGTCCGAATTTTAAATGCCAAATGGGTCGGTGGGAGGTTATGGAGGGACTTAAAATCGGCACATCTGATACCTCATTGAAGTGTCTGCCTGTTTCAAAGCCTTATCATAACTTAACTTGAAGCTACATGATAATGCAGGTTTTGTTTTTTTTTCTTTCAGTGGTGACTTTGCCTTGGATATTGTAAACACACAACTATGCTCACCAGAAGGGAGATTAATTAAATTGTTTCACAATTGTTCTTGAAACAGATGCAAATTTATACGAGTACTCATAATGTCAGGGGAACTCTGCTTAATTGTCATCATGTTCTTAAATTTGACTGTATGCGTGTTAGGACCAATGATCTACTTGTTTATGCTCATGTTTTCTAATTAAATTCAGTTTAATGGTCTCTCTGGATTGTGGTATTACTATGTGTGATTTTGTTACTTTAGAATGAGTCATTTGTCTCTACAGACGCCACAGGTCGCCTTCCATGGCGTTCGCCTTGTTCAACCGCCATGTTTCTACAGTAGCAGAATGGACATTAAATTTGGAAATATCAGGCTTTATAACTAGGTGCCCTTGAACAGTTGTTAATAATTCTTGCCCCAAATTAAAATATTCCAATTTACAGACAATTGATTGCATACTGTTTTTTGAAACTACAGCTTAAACATATTTTTTTGTATTTTTATTGTTTACAATGACGCACAAACACTGTAACTGTAAAGGCTTTTTTAATTTTATTGATAATCATTTTTGACATGATTGGCAGTAATATATATATATATATATATATAACATTATGAATATACAAAATAGAGTGTGATGACATTATTTCGCAACGGTGATATATGGATGATAGTTCAAGGACGTGTGACAGATAGTCCCACATAGTACAAATAATAAATACTGGTCGAGGCAGTAGCTCTGTTTCTTGCAGGCATACACGTCCTACTGATGCACAGGAACACTGACTACGGTCAATGCAACAAACTAACAATAAAGTACATTTATTATATACACACAGGGTTTACAGAATGTCACTGGAGCTCAACTGAGGTTTGTCTTCAGTCACCATGCATATTCTTAAGGAGTACTAAAATTATTGTAGAGCCACATTTAGACAGTGTACTGAGGTAGCATGCAGGGGACATACAGGACAAAACAAATCATTAAACATTTGAACCATAATCATTCAATCAAAGATACAAAAGTATTATTATAAACTAAAGCTGACAAATTATATACCTGATATTGTTTGTTTATGCCCAAACAAGAGGCCATTTTTATTATAAATATTTTCACGACAGTTTACCATCATGCATTTTCATGTCTAATAAAGACAGAAGAGATGAAAATGGGGATTCAAACTGCACTGGTGAATCCATGAGGAAGTGCGTGTACAGTATAGAGGAGCTAGAAAGTCCTACAGAAGTTCATAAAGCAAAGAAAATTAATCACTCATTAAATAAAACAAATTATAATTATATTTTTATAATTAAAAAAATATATAATTAATTTACAAATATGTGTATTAAAAATAGATTAATTAAGACCCAATTAAATTAAGTTTATAAATGAGTTTTAACAAAATGTTTAAAGGATATTAAAAGGAATTATTGTTTTTCCAATTGTTAGCAAATTCAATGAGAATACCAAAACCAACACTGAATTGATCTCACTAACGAGTACCAACATTCGGTAAAAACTGCAATGCCCAGACCTTTTAGCAAGTTATTTACCTTTTTTTCAAAAAGAAAATAAAACTATAAATTGGTTTGTGACCAAAGTGAAGATTTACATCTCCAGCAAAGTCAATTATGTGGTCTCTTCATGGGATTAATAAGAAAATATAAAATATTGACAGTTCCTTTATATAACAAACACTTGCATTGGCTATCACCTTTACCTGTTGACATATTGAAATGATTGGTAGGAATTACATAATACATAAGTTAATTTAAAAATATCGATTCATTGCTGAGGTCCAGGTTTATTAGAATTCTTATTTATTCTTCTTAACACTGACTGTTGTAATCAGTTGTCATTCTAAACTGCAGTTTTCCACACCATTGACAAGAAAACCTTAAAGTGCACAAGGAAAAAAAAACAACACAATTCCATGACAACTGGAAAAATCCATCTGCTGATGAAGATCGTGAACGAAAGCTACTTGATGGACCTTGTGGTGAGATCGTTATCTTAATCAATTAACTGGTTTATTGTTAACTGATGGCTTAATGTGTCCATTTGTAAAGTTTTATCAACCCATCTCTTTTTTATTACATAGAAATGAATGAATTGCTTTATAACCACACGTAAGGCTCTCTGGGTCCTCTATATTAGGATGCAGTTTAAGGTTTCCATAGCCTTAGGAGGCCGTCCTCGCTGTATGTGGCAATCAGATTCTCATGTGGGTGGTGAGCGATGCCAATTACCTCTTTCTCGTGAACCTGTGGGTGCAGACGAACACAGATCAGCATACATTCTCCATTTCCCATCAACTTTACTGTTCCCTTACTAGCCCCCAGTAGGATTGTTCCACAGCAGCAGTGACATAATCAGAGTGTCAAGTGAAACAAAAAATAACTAGATAAACGGTCCAGTTTTTTTTTTTTTTTTTTTTAAACAAATTACATTTCACATGAGTGTGGATGTACTGCCACCTCTCACAGACTTTGATATTGAGCGAATATTAGCAGTAGAGCTTACGGTCAGCGTTTTCTGCAGCCTTCCTGTTGTATAGTTGAAGCAGTACAGCACTAAGTCTTCTCCCACACAGTAAATCCACTCCCCGCGGGGTGACAGGGTGCAACAAACAAAGTCGGCTCCTTCCTTTTTATCCGAGCTGAAAGTTTTCATGGTCTGAGGAGGAAGAGGAGAAGACATTTGGTTTCTACAACGATGCTCAGGTATTGTGTGTGTGTGTGTGTGTGTGTGTGTGTGTATTAGCAGAATGTTCAGGAAGTTTTAAAATGTGTTCACTTTTTATTAGCTGGCAGCGTTGCTAGTGATGGCAATTATTGGTCAATCAGTCAGACTGGTCCAGACTGAAATATCCCTTTAGCTATTGGATGGATTGCCAAGACATTTTGTACAATCATGGTCCACAGAGGATGAATCCCACAGTCTTAGTGAAGCCTTATCTTGTGGGTGGTTGTGGCTCAGGAAGTAGAGCAGGTTGTCTACTAATCAGAAGGTTGGTGGTTTGATCCCTGGCTCCTCCCGCTATATGTAACCTTGAGTGGTCAGAAGACTAGAAAGGTGCTATATAAGTACAGTCCATATACTATTTCTAGCACCACTGTACAGGTGACATTTTAGGTTTTTGTGTAAAATGAACAACTACTCAATGTATTGCCATTAAATTTGCTGCAGGCCTCTCACGAACTCATCACCTGGTTATCCTCTGACTTTCCCTCTAGTGCCATCATCAGGTCTAAATTTAAATTTGTTTTTTGACCAGATATCTACAAAACTAAAGACCTTCCAATCAGCCTAGGCTATACTTTGTTTTTGGCGCTAATTTGCAGATGTTACCATGCCAACACTCTAAACTAAGATGGTGGATATGGTAAACATTATATCCACTAAATATGAGCATGTAAGCATTGTCATTGTCAGCATGTTAGCATGCTGATGTTAACATTTATCTAAAAAGCATCGCTTTGCAACAGTACAGCCTCACAGAGCTGCTAGCATGGCTGTAGACTACTTAATTTAGGTTTTTAACAATGAATATTAACAATATATATGGATTAAACAAATATGGCAGTATTCTGTAAATGCAATCAATCTTGTTACGAAAGTACCTCTTGTTCATTAGATTTGAATATTGATCACAAATAGATTATATTTCATAGAATACTCACCTGACCGTTCATGTTCAGGATGACCACCGTGTTGGAGTGGTTACAAATCACAAAGTGCTCTGGATTTTGGGGTAGAGGAATCACATTGTTGACGGGGACCTCTGATGTCCGGGACAGAGATTTGAAAGTGTGGATGCATTCGCAGGTTTTTGTATTCCAAATCTAAAATATGCACATGAAATAAATCCACTGAGTGACAAATATGACAGCACTGCCCCTGCTACATAATAATACTGATGCAGCACAAGCACATACATGAATTATAGTAATATCATTTGCTCATTGTACCTTAACTGTGCCATCAGATGAGCCACTGATGATGTGAAATCCATCTTCAGTGAAAGATGCATCATTTACAAACGATGAATGGCCATTTAACTCCTTTAGTGTCTTTCCTGACCTCAATTCGTGGATTCTGAAAATGGCAGACATAAAAGCTGTTAGGAAATACTAAATCAAACAAAAGAGCAGCTCTCACTCATTAACAAACCATGTTTTTATTCAACTCAAGGGGGATTTTTCTTGCAAGCAGACAAACATGTTGCTGAGCAGCCAATGAGTTATTTTTAGCTCTGTGGAGTGACTGGGTGCAGATTAGCCAAACCATGACAAAACGTCTAATGCTCACTGATTCACTGCGTCTCTGGGAGGATTTTGCGAATGTGAACGAGTCAGACTCCCAGCTCGTGGAATTGCAAGGGAAGGAACACGTTGCAGCTTTGTGCCCGAGCACATGGTCTCACTCAGTTACACCCACACAGCACATGTGCTTCCAACACAGCGGAGAGGCTCAGCTCACACCCCCCAGGAGTCAGAAATAGATAACAACTCCTAAACTATGAAGGGGTTTCAGTGTGTGTGTGTGTGTGTGTGTGTGTGTGTGTGTGTCTGTGTGTGTATGTGAGAGAGAGAGAGAGAGAGAGAGAGAGAGAGAGAGAGAGAGAGAGAGAGAGAGGAAGTGAAAGATAAATGTCCTTCCCCCAGTATATTTACATTCAGGTGCATGACTCAGGCAAGCAACATGTGATGTCTGATATCTGCATGGAATTATAATTATTTAAAAGCATAGGAAATAGAACTGATGCCCAAATTAATAACAGGATATTAAAACTTCAACAAATATACCACTGAATTCCATTAAATGTGTCCACAGTTTCTAACTAGCTAACTCTGTGTTGCATGGCTATATTCAGTTTTGGTTATCACCTTTTGCATGACTGTTTGCCATTCCTTTTCCCATCTACATTTCTATATGTCAGTTCTGTTATCATTTATATGCATTATTGTGGCAGCATTCTGCTAATCCAATGTGGGTTGCTCACTGCCTTCCAGCTGAACTCACATTCATGTGTGCACCTTTGAAACTTTTGTGAATCATGTCTGAGGTCAGTGAGAGCCCTCACTTCCTCCCACAGTAGACAAACAAAGTTTTGCCATAACATGGCTCCCACCACGTTGTTTGTTTCTATTTTAAAACGATTGGTACATCATTTGTGAATTCAGGTATTTACTTCCCTTTTAAAAACTAAAATTGTAATTTACTGTATTAGGTATTCATGTATTTAAATATATCATATAATTGACTTGTTCATTACATTTAATTAAATTTTTCAAATTTCTATATCTATTTAATATGAAACATTTATGTATATATTGACTATTTTGACTTTATCTCCCTGTTTCCTCTCCAATTCAATGTCATGTAATTAACCATTTGCTCTTTGAGTCTTCCTAGCTGATGTGAGTAATGGTATGTGAATCATATTATATGACAATGTTACTACTATGGATATCAGTCAGAGTCAGTGTCTCAGCCATGCAAATAGAAATCCTGAAGATGCTATGGTCCGTATTAGATAACATATCTGTCTGCAGTGTGTTCACTATGCACAGAAAGCATGGTACATCCCACCTGATGGTCTGGTTAAAGGAGGCACTAAGGATCTGGTTGCTGTCCTTGGAGAAGCTCAGACAGGTCACACCTTTGTTGTGGGCATGCTCAAACCTTCGCAGACACAAGCCACTCTGGATCTTCCACACCTTTTGCCAGAGAGAGAAGATTCAAGACTAATCTCAGCTGATAACATGACATAATTCTTCCATATTTCACTATATTAACATACAGTGATACCAAGATTTAACTTTAAATGAAACAGTATTGTAAGGCAGTATTATAAGATCCAACCTTTATTTTCCCATTCTGAGCTCCAGTTGCCAGTAGATCTGTATCCTGGCTGAAGCACATACACAGCACAGCATCATCCATCATCATGAAGCTGTCTTGGGCCTGATACTTTAAGTCCTAATTCATTCATGCAAACACACACAAACACACACAGACAGACAGACACAGGTACACATTCACACACAAAACAGAAAAACAATAAAATAAATGTTTCTGTTATGTAAAAATACAATTAAAACTTCCATTTGGCCAAGTGGGTAGCATTAGAACACTGTTAAAACATTAAATACAAACAATCTAAACAGACTATGACAACGCCCTACAATATAGACTATATCCACTTACAATCTATAAACTGGTATTAGTTTTCATCTAAAATACTGTAAAAACAATAAATTAGGAAAAGTGAAAAAGAGGTCTTACTATTTTTAAGTGTTATAATATGAAACAAACCTACCTTACTAATTTTTCCAGTGTTAAAGTTCCAGACCTCAATGAACCCATCCACCGATCCAGTGATTAAGTACTTGCCATCAGGAGAGAAACGGGCACACTCCACATGTGACCGTCGTCCAAACTGCAGGATAAAACAACACCTCATTCTCAACATTCCTCCGTCTTCCAGAAAACACGCTCGCCTATTTTGCAACCTCAGGGAGGCATAATGTGGGCTGCCCATTGTAACCTTGGGCAGGGAAAAGCAAGGACAAGCAACTCAGGCAGCTCCATATGGATGCAAGTGATGAAAAGCACAGCCTGAGATTGAAGACAAGTGCCTTCAGGTGAGTAAAGCAATTACTCAAAGTGTGTGTGTGTGTGTGTGTGTGTGTGTGTGTGTGTGTGTGTGTGTGTGTGTGTGTGTGTGTGTGTGTGTGTGTGTGTGTGTGTGTTTAATAATAAGGGAGATACAGTCTACATTTGGAAATGACTCATCAATAGACACAGAAAGGTCTTATTTACTTTTCTACAACAATTTTTTGCTCCCACAATCGCCAAACCAATCTTTAAAGTAGTAGTAATAGTGGTAGTAGTAGTATATACTGTAATTAGTATACATTCTATATACAGTATAAAGAATGTATTAGAATTGGGAATTAGAACCTATGGTGGTCTACCTTGATGTGGCGATACAGCTGGGTTGGGAAGCTCTCTTTCTCTACATGTCTCTCCTTGTTGCCAGGCGTGTCGATGGTCATGTCGGGGGAGAGATGATCTGGATACTGCTGCAGTCTCATAGACTGTGTGAGACAGGAATGAGGAACAGTCAATAGAAAACATAAAGTAGTTGTGGCTGTTTTACTCCGTCAATGTCAAGGTCTCAACAAAAACATGAACACTAAGAAAATAGAGATTTTTTCAATGCAGCGCTGTTGTCCCACAATGCAACACATGATTAAAATTAAGGACCTACTTGCAGCTGCAGAACTGTCATAACAGACTGTGACTGGGAACAGGTCTCACCACAGAGAGATAAAGTCATAAATCTTTGGCAAATATATTTCTTGATAAGTTTTCAAATTATTAATTGGCAGTAGATGTCCTGTTGCAGTTTGCGTGGCAGCTTTATATTTTAGTACAATACTATCTTGTATACTACAGCCAAAAACACAACCATCATCATTAGTAGATCATTTATGCTTTTTAGTATCTCTGTATTGCATTAAATGAGTCAATTCTGCACCTTGAAATATTTTACTGGCACCAGCAAAACAAACGTGGGCTTCACCAAGAACCTTCCCCTGGGAAAAATGTACCATGCTCTCCATTTAGATATAAAAACCAACAGTGGGATGTATGTCTTTAGGACGTTTTTGGAATCACTGCATTGATAGTCACAAGCTTGGTGTTTAATATTGCTGTTTCAGTGCAAGCTAAACACAGCTATACAATAAATGGAGCATATCTTGATTTGCCAGTCTTCAAGGACCCTATATAACAAATAACTAAATGTTAAAAGCAAATAAAATGAATGATTTTAGACAAATTTCATGACTAATTTTCATTGTTCTAATGTGCTGCTCCTTAACAGTTTAACTTTCAAAAACTCATCTAATCTCCTTCATGTGAACTGTGTGGGTTTGGTTTGGTTTGATCTGATTTCATTGACAGTAGTCAAGTCTACATTAAAATTTAGTGCAGGTTCGAACAAAATGCTAATTAATCTGTGTTTCCATCCATTCTGAATTCTCCCGTCAGTTGCCATCAAATCATTAGAGAGGAAGAGGGCCCAGTAAGATGATGTTATTAAAAGAGCGGCAAACCTCAACCTCATGTGGAAACTATGATGGAAATATGACTTTTTTTCATGTATTAATGTAGAGTGTTACAGTTTCAAATGTTTTCATCTGCCGCTATTTTTTGTCTCTTCAGTGCAGCGGAAGCTTCAGAGGACGTTAGGAAGTCCAGTGTGTAGGATTTAGTGGCATCTAGCAGTGCAGTTAAAGATCAATACTCCCTCATTTCACCCTCCCCATCCAAGTGTGAAGGAGAAACTACTGTAGCCGCGAAACACACAAAAAGGGTGTACCCCATGGAAGGCCACCCACAAAAGGCTCATTCTAAGGTAAACAAAAATAAATAAAACAATGATTCCTATATTCAGGTGATTATACATTATTAAAACCATATGATATGATTTTATTCAATTTCTGCCAACACACACGCTTCATACGTCATGATTAACTAGTTAAGTCTGCCTCAAGTGCATCTTTCGTCATATGTTACTTTTATTCTTTTCATTTGTAAAAAGCTTAAAAACTTTTTTGTGATTTTTTCCCCACTGGTGTTTACAGTTAGGTTTTTTATGTGCACATTGAAAATATGCATAAAACAGTTGGATGGAAACATACTTGCTAGTGATCTGACAACATAAGTTAACTTCTATACAGCTGCCACAACATTTTGCTTCAGTTATTATTGCTAAACTCTGATTGGTGCCCAGAAATATGCAACCTTTTCCTACCTGAGCCCCGCCCACTTGAAATAAAAAATATAGAAATCGCTTCTGTGATTTAACCAAAACTGTTCAAACTTTAAAAGACAATGTGTGTTCATGTAGGACGCCATTACTAATAGCTAGAAAAAAATATATTTTCAGGCCCTTTAAGAACCTCCAATCACAGTATGTACATCACAGTAGTGAAAGAGATAAAGAGATAATTTGAGACCTTGAATTCTCAATCAAAGAGTCCTACATTGATTAAGTGGCTTCCCTCAGATAATTAGAGTGAGTATTGAGAGAGATATTGATCAGTATACTCACGCCAACTTGTTCCAGAAGACCCATGAGGCGAGAAGGGGGAACCACACTGACCTCCCTCACTAGCGCCTCGGCTATTGCCCTACGCCGCTTCTCCTTGCTGCTGCCTTTTGGGTACGCCTGCAGAGAGGGGGAAGGGACGCCTCTTTATAAACTGCTTACTGATGCTGTTGTTTAAAAGTAAAAACCTTCATATTCTCACCTCGCGAGGGTCAAAGTAGGAGCACGTTAGCAGGTTCTCCAAATGGTTGTACCTCTCTGGCTGCGTCTGCTTCAACATGATCATGGGGTCAGTTTGTTTGAGAAGTGAGCGAGCTGCTCCCACCTCCCTCATCTCAATGAGCTCCATTACAACCTGTTAAAGAGTTCATGTTCATCAGATGCTGCTAAGTCAAAAGTTCAAGCCGAGAAAAGTATTAGCTGATCAATGCGAAGCTCACCTGCTCATAAAGGTCAATAAGCGTGTTGTCGGGCAACTTGAGGGACTCAATAGCCAGCAGGACAGAGTCCCAGTGGCCGCTCTTTATATCAGCAATGAAACTGTCAATGCTTTCCACTGTGTTGAGTGAGACGGTGGTTTCCTCCTGTAAGGTAGTCAGTGTTCGGTAGAGGTTGTTCTCCTTGAGGTACTGCATTATCAGGCGGATCACGCTAGAGAAGGAAGGTTGATGTAATGTTACAACCACATGTTGACAGATAATCTTACATTTAAAGCCTGTAGGCTGCTAACCTGTGAAGGGTGAAGTCATACAAGCATTGGAATTGTTTCTTTGAGAGTTGAATTACCAGTTGCAGCTGGTGTTCAGGATTTTGTCATATACAAGCAACACCGATAACCAGGTGTGGAGCCAGACATTGTAAACATTTGGGGCTTATCGCAAACCAAGGGTCCAGAGGCATGTTTACAGCAGCTATATGCATAAAATTATAGGCCAGTTGAGATCATAGAATGCCTATAAATCTGTATATCATCATATCATATCATTTGGGAAAAACATGATAGTTGCCCAGAAACTTTTTTTTTGTATCTAATTGTTCTCTGACTGCCTTAATCATTATAAATCCAGAGCACAATAAATGTTGAGGATGACGCATTTTTACTTCTGCTACCTAAAAATAGTTGAGGTTGAAAAACTTTGTTATGGCTATAGTCCATAAGATAGACAGCTGGCTAACTGAGGTGACACAGCGGAATGAAACACGACACACACAAGATAACAAGCCCCCATGACAGTGTTAAGGAGGACCTATAGATGGCAATATCTGCACAGTTATCAAACTTTTGCTGCATTGATTTTCCAATCCAGTTTGGTACATGGTGTTTTAGTATCTTTTGATCTTGTAGAGGGCAATCCCACTGTTTATCACTCTTGTCACACTCAATCACTGATTCTGAGTGATCAACTGGACTCTGAAACACTGTTTTATTTCCAGGTGCTGCCACACATTTGGCCATAGATTGTCTGTTGTTCCAGTCAAAACAAGAGCAGAGACTCATGAGGACTTTGGTCCCACTTCAGAGCCATCTGCTGGACATTTTCACAATTCTCTGCATCCCATCTTCCCCCGCTGTTATCGCTCCATCATCACCCTGCAGTTTTATGATCTTTCACGTGCACCCTTCTTTCCAGAGACATGCAGCAGTGGCATTGCCTGTTGACTGGATTAACGTCACCCACTGATGCTCTACAACATTTTCTCACATTTAACCTCCCACCATAAATCCACCACAAAAAAGAGTTTGGCAACAGTGTGTACTCCATCCTCACGTTTCCCCACAGGAAACTAAATAACTAACTAATAAAAAAAAGCTCACCCACATCCTAGCCAGTGGTGGAGAGCCTGTTAGATCAACAGGCACATGTGGATGAAACATACACTGTGTATAGTGGCTGCAACACAGTCCGACCCGTTTTTCTGTCAGCATAATCAGCCAGAACATTAGATCAAATGGCTCAAAGCGACCATTTGAGAAGCCTCACAGGGGAATTTGGCCATATGTGCAGCATACTGCTCACAATAAATAGTCTATTAATAATGAAAGCGTGTCAGAGATTGGATGAGAGGCTCCACAACCAATTAAACAAACGCCACATGGGTACGCAGGCAATAAATAACAATGCCGTAGAAGAAAGGTGTAGATGTCATATCCCGATGAATAATATTCCATTTCATTGTAAAAATTAACTTTTAGAAAGACGCAAACATCGCAGCAAAATTATAATTCCCTAATTGAACATCAGTGATGGCATAAACAGCGGATACAATGTTCCAGTTTGATGCGTAATCTACAACATAACGGACCCCAGCACCTCTAATAGATTCAATACAAACTTAATGTTTTCTTTTTGTATAGTGACACATATGGTCTGATCATTATGACTTTTAAATCACCAAGCTATCACTGAAAACTCGTCATTTACCACAAAAACCACAGAAGGAAAGCACACTTACTCCGAGGGCTCCATCTCCGCAGCCATGCTGATGTTGCCTCCTGCTGTTGCAGCACCGGACTAAACGGTGTGGCGGCTCAGGCTCTGGCACTGCGCTCGCTAGAGCCACGTGAAAGTCTTCTGCTGAGGACCACCCACTACACGTGCTTCTCTTGTGTCTCTCTTTTTTTGGGGGGGGGGCGGACAGCAATCGCAAACCCTGTGACTGCCACATAAAGTCTTGGAGCACCACTCCCTCCTCCTGCCTGACGCATGCCGATACATAGAAGAAAGATGTTTGTGGGCACGTTGCGTGCAGGAGATGCTGCGGCGGGCGGCAGTCAGCCAAGACAACAGCAGCATCAGCACCACGGACAGAACCTCGTGGCTCAGAGCGTGCTCGCCTTTAGGAAACGCTGTGCAGGAGCCAAAAACATTGCTCTAAACGTCCTCTAAAGGAAAATCACCTCAGTGCTCATCAATATGCAGATCCAGAGCTGAGTGCGTCTGTGCCTTTTGAGCATCTTTGCCTTGAATTGCCTATTATTTCGCCAACTTAATCCCCGCATACACACGGTGATTACCAGCCATCACTGCCTCCCTGTAATTACAAGCTGAGGGTCTAAATGTGGATTGTGAGTGTTAATCACCAACGATGTTTGCCACTTCAGCGAGAGTGTTTATTTAATCCGTCTGCCTCTGCTTATTGGCCCTCACCAGCAAATAAACCTGTTGGTAAGAGGAAGCCTCGTTAATCCGTAACAGAGGTTTCATTACTGTTCTACACAACAACCTTCCAGAGGCCTCATTGTAAAAGCTGCGTGGATGCAAAATCACGCCTATAAGAATAGATTAATATGCTTGAGGCTATTAAACACCAACCCATGCTTTAATGTAGTAATCTATTATTAACTTTCAATCTACATCATTTTAAAGACAAGTAACACCTACACTACATAGCATTGGTAAATAAATTCCAAACACTGACAATATTAGTTATGATGAAGTCAGGTGATGGATTGGTTTTATTATTAATACTTAGTCCCATGGAGCAGCTGTATAATATGTTGTTTTGAATTGGACTAGAGATAGTCAGGTTGTGTCCTGCTTCCCTTATGTGTTTGGTGGATGAAGTGGTAGCTCTGTTCACAGACCAGTGCTGCAGCAGCAGCAGCAGCAGCAGCAGGCTGATCCTGAAGGAAGATTTATTTGACCCTTGTGTTCCAGAGGACATCAACAGTATTGGTATCAGCATTCATTGTGGATCACTTCTCAAAGTGTGGAACAAAACAGCAGGCTCACCTCTGCAGAGATCAGGTGCAATATGGCGATGGCAGATGTTTTGATGTGAGAAATTATTTATTTGCTCCTGAAATGAATGATCATTATAAAAACGGTTTGTGGGACTTGACATCTTCATTTTTCATTCCCTGAAGCAACTCCCTTATGAACACTGGTCAGATATGACCTATAAACACTGTAGTTCACACTCAGAGGCATTTGTGCTTTCAATGCACTATTTATCACAACTTGCAGAGCTGTGATGGCCGAGTGGTTAAGGCGTTGGATTCGAAATCCAATGGGGTTTCCCCGCGTAGGTTCAAATCCTGCTCACAGCGATTATCAGCTTTAATCAATATCGAGCAATAGGAAAAATATAAAACAATATGTAATTAATGACTGGGACTGTTGCATTCAGTATACCTAAACAAATTTGTGAAACACGTATCAGAAAAAAATAAAATAAGAAGCACAGAAGTCCCCAAATTGATCACTGTGATTGATGAATGACATGGTATATCTGACATAGATGTAATTTGATATTGGAGGTAGGGTTTTTTAGATACATTTGTCAATAGGTAATTGTATACATGCATACGTATGTTTGTATAATTTTATTTTAAATATGTATTATTATAATAAAAAAAAAAAAAAGGGTTACATATATTAACATATCGCGAGAGCAGCCCGAGAACTGCAGCACTCAGCACAGGTGAGCGCTAATTGACAACACGACCACGCCATGTGAGAGACCTGTGGAGCAGCACTTAGCAGGGTTGTATTCTATTGAACAGCCTCTATTACCCAAATGTAAAGTTTAAACGTTTACTCACACGAAGGCACATTTATTTTTCCCTTGTAGAAAGTGTACAACATGCCGATGAACAACAACCAGGTGAGTACAATGGAGGTAGATTAACCCTTTCTTCACCTGCTAAATTATATTTAGTCTTCCTAATTATTATAGGCTACCCGGTGAACTCAGAAAAATCGAGTAAATTGTTTGTTAGATGATTAAAAGCCCCATAAATAATCTATCTAGGCCCGATGACTTCCATTTTGATATTCTATTTAGGAAACTTTGGGAAGATTTTTTGATTTAGAAATGACCAAAATTAACTTACACGATACAGAGCAGTTAATAACTTCATTAAACCATTTACTTAACTGTAAACCGCCCCTCAATGACTATATTAAGCTTGTTGTTTCTCTTCTTTTCTTGCAGAAGGTGCAGAGGGCAGCTGCCAGGCTGGCCAAGCTGCCAGTGGTTCACTCAGCTTGTACCAAGCTGTCAGTCTTATACATTGACACTAAATACAGCCACCCCAACCTGAGGTCTGTGTGTGAGGGGCTGGAGAGCAGCGTGGCAGCTATAGTTACACCTGTCTGTGTAAAACTGGAGCCCCAGAGTGAGTACTGTCACATTTGAGGCTGTATTGTCCTACCTGTATATGGCTTTCCAAAATCTGTGCACCATAACATCAGAACTCAGAAGGAAAGAGGGCTGAAGAAATGTTTTATAATTCATGATAAATAATGCCTGAAGTTGTCAATAATAAAGGATGCAATGTAGGAACCTATTTCAACATGTTACACAATCCAATCGCAAGCATTCAATCCCGGTAAGGTCATAGCTAAAAAAATACACGTCATACATATGTGTACCCAAATAAATAACACGTATTAAAATCAGCTAAATGAAGACTGCAGGTGTTTTGTTTATTGTAGTAATTAGTACTTTTCAGTAATAGCTTCACTGTCTGGAATATTTCCAGTGTCCATTGCAATTGACGTGGCATGTAAAGGTCTTGACTGGCTGGAGACTGCGTTCCCAGTGCTTCATATGCCCACAGAGCAGGTAACCTTTTCCTTTACTCTTTAAAGCTCCAGTGTGTAGGATTGAGTGGCATCCATCTGTGTAGTAGCAGTTTGCAACTCCCTCGCTTCAGCCTCTCCTTCCAACTGCGAAGGAGAGACTACGGTGGCTGCGAGGAGCTGTATCCAGAGCCAGTGTTTAGGTTTGTCCGTTCTGGGCTACTGTAGAAACATAACAGTTCAACATGGTGGCCTCCATAGAAGAGTCTGTAGATATGAAAAGCTCATCTTAAAGTAACAAAAACATAACGATTCTTATTTTCGGTATATTTCTGCCAATAGATCCTCTTAAATGTTACACACTGGACCTTTTTGGATCTGACTAAGCCACACAATTTTCATAGTGTTTTCTCAAACAGCAGAAGAGGCTATGACAATATCTCCTGCTTCACCTAGATTGTTGCCACTGCCAAGAACAAGATGCATGAGATCCAGGATGTGGTGAGCATAGCAGCTAATGGGACTGTGGACTGCGTACAGCACACAGTCACATGGCTGATGGGCAGGACACAGCAGGGTGATAACCAGGCTGACCAGCCACTGGTGGAGAGAGCCATCACTGTGGCCAGTGTGGGACTGGACTCTGCTCTGATCATGTCAGAGGTTCTGATGGACCGAGTGCTTCCTCCTACTGAAGAAGATGAAGGTACATAGATTAATGTGGAGTTACTGATGTGAAATAAGTCGTATTTAGAACTTCCATTTACTTTTGTGTCACTCAAAATATCTTCTTGCTGACTTCATAGAGGAAGAAGCTCACTTGTTGGAGGGTTTCGAGGCGGCCACGCTCAGGAGACCTTATCCTGCACGACTTGCTTCACTCACTGTCAGGCTGTGTAGGAGGACCTTCCACATGGTTGGGTCCAAGATGCAGTCTATTCAGGTGTGTGTGTGTGTACAGTTTAAAGAGATTTTTTTTTGGGAAATATGCTTATTCGTTGGATGAGAGGATCGATACCTCTCAGTCCATTCAATATGAAGCTACAGCCAGCAGCTGGTCAGAGAGGGAGTTTATAGGAAAAAGAGCTATGTATTGTACAATGACAGTACTTCAGTGGTATTGATCTTCTCATCTATCTGTGCAAGAAAGCCAATAAGCGTATTTTCCAGAAGGCCAAACTGTTCCTTTAACAAGATGGAAGGATGGTCTCAGGCAGTATATGTTTGGTTATAGACAAACATGATACTGCCTTCATAACATAGTTATATCAGTAGTTTTAGCACAATTACCATATTTTCTTTGCTGTCACATTGTTTTTGTTGAAGTTCTTAAAAACCCATGTATGATTTTCTCTAAAATATATGTAGGTTATAAAGCTATATAATGTTTTTCCTTGAGACGTTACAGTAAAAAGAGCATGTAACTCATGAAAAGAAAGATAATTGTCTTCATCTTACTTAATACAGCTCAATCAGCTTTGCTTTGAATCAAATAATTAGCTGGACACATAATAGGACTTTTTTTTATGTCTATGTAGCAGAAATGTTGACTTATAGCAGTCAGTAACAATAAGTGTAATCAAGAATTTCGACCTGTGCATATTCTATGCCTACCCATTTCTGTCATTTCACACACACACACACAAGATATATAGATAGAACTAGGCTAAAGAGTGCTTTTGTCCTTTTATTCAACAGGTAATGGAGAATTTGTCCAGGTCTTCAAGTCTGATTCAGGACCTTCAGACCAGCTGCCTGACCTTGGTCTGGAGCATCCAGGGGCTGCCTCAGCATGTGCAGCATCAGCTTGTGTCTGCGTTCTTCTTTTTTTCCCAGATGTATAACTTAAGCTACCCACCTTCCCAACACCAGGGCGACAAAGACAGAAGCTGTCTCAATGCAGCCGAGACCTCCCCAACTCACAAGGACGTGGTCCCTGCTCACCCACAAACTACGCCAGCTAGCTGCCAAAAGAGACGGCCAGCCAAAATGTCTCCGTTTAACAATGGGTGTAATGTTAAAGGATGCGTTCGTCGCTGAACACTACTGTAATTATTTGATATACACAGTTGTGTTTAGTTTGTTCTGCAGTTCCCAATGAGGTGCAACTGAAATAAAACTTAAATTCATTCACTTTGATTCCGCATCCTTTAAGTCTTGCAGCTGTTCAGGCAGATAAAAGCCACCACTGTTATGCCTACATAGGGGGGGCACTAAGTCAAAACTGAGGAGACAGAACTCCTAGCATTGGCAGTTAATCATGTAATATAAAAGATGGCTTCCTATAACTGATTTGTGTGAAAGGTTAATAAAGGCATACAGGCTCAAACTGCTTTTTTCCATGTGTTGATTGCAGAGCCACCTCTAGGTAGCAAGACTACTCAAACTACAGTAACTTGTGATTGAACTGAGGTACAAGATAAAACTGGGCAGCATATGGTAAAAACTGCAGATATTTTGAAGGCTTATGATTGTGGTATGATTAAGTGTGGGAACTAATTTCTGGATCACAGGTTTAATTTTCACTGAACTAAAATAATGTGAATATTTAGTACCTATACTAAACAAATGTGTTCTTAAATCTGGAGAAAGATTTGTAGACATGGGCATCTCTTAATTATACTGTTGTCACATTAAATCTTCAAAATAACATTCTTTGATTTCAATTCATTGTGCAGCCCTACCCACAGTATAACATGTCTCCAAAAAAAGCTTGAAATCCCATGTAAATATGCTTAAGTTAAACAACTTATTAGCTGCCTGCTGTTATTCAACTGGCAATCGTAGTCCTTTGGACTCAAGATACTGAAATAATGAGAATTACAATGCAAATTTTTCAGCAAAACATGACTTTATTTGACTTTCTGATTTTACTTTTGGCTGGACTCTGACTTGGATGTAGATGCTCTCAGAGAAGAAAGGCGGCGCCTCTTGGCGATCTGTTCCTGGCGCTTCTCTTTGGCCTCCTGTTGGCAGAAACAAGTGTCAGTAAAATGTTTCAACACATCAAAACGTTATTTTCACCCCCATACCTAACTCCAATATGATGTCAGTGACTGCTAGATAATGCAACAGTTTACTGCAGTTCTTTAACAATTAAATCAGATGGCAATGAAAAATATAGCCGAATACTTGGTGTGTTTTTTAATTTCAGTTTGTCTAAGTACAATAATTCCAATATGTGAATGATTTTTACCGCTACAATTTGAAAGTTCCCATCAAAATATGGTGCAATTCATCTCTGCTCCAAGTTCTGCCTCCTGACAATTATAAATGGCTATAAGCACCATTTTAGGGGAAATATACCAGAGCAATAACCCCAAAATACATTTGAGTAATTTGTTAATCCAAAACCACTTAGAAATGTGTCATGTCACAACTTAGAGCCGCTTGAGTTCTGAGTAGCTAAGCACTGTAATAAAGGAAAAAACAAATAAAAACATTACCTTCATCCTCTTGGCCAGCAGCTTGGCGTACTCAGAGGCCTCCTCCTTGTTCTTCTGGGTGCGCTGTCTCTTGAGGGAGATGCGGCGGCGCTTGTGCTGCAGCACACGGGGCGTCACCAGTCTCTGGATCCTGGGAGCCTTAGTTCTGGGCTTCTTGCCTACCAGAGAGAGGGGATCCCGTTAATAATACTGACAATATGAGTCAATATCAGGTATGATAGAGAAAGACATTGGTTTCCAGAGATTTATCTGGCAAAGAAACTGAAATTCTTGCTGCTCCTTAGCCTCTGATTGCATCATATACAAGATACCGAGAATGCTGTGTAATTGTGATGTGTCTCAATCTATTATACTGTAAAATGGATGAAGTCGTAGCATTTTGGGTTTACAACATAAACATTTAGGCTTCTTGCGTCATTACTATTTGAGTTGTGATTGCATATACACTACTGTATTTTAAAATTTCCAGAACTAGAGCAAAAAATCTGTTTACATTAACATGTCCCAGTGCTTTAATTGTCATCTTTAAAAAAAAGTACCAATGTGTAGGATTGACTGGCAGCTAGTGGTGAGGTTGCAGATTACAACCAAATTAATATTGCACACTTTACAAGCGTGTAGGAGAAATTACAGTGGCTGCAAAAATTGTGAAAGGCTATAACTAGAGCCAGTGTTTGGCTTGTCAATTCTGGGCTACAGGAGAAACAGTTAAAAACATCTCATACTAAAAAAAAGTTAACAGAAACACAGGTAGGGATGAGTACATTTAACTCAATACTGAGTTCAAAATATTATTCTCAGTTTTTTTCCCTCTCAATTATGACTGAAAAAAGGTCTACAACATATTTTCTTAGACAAATTATAGTCCTTTTATTCATTTCCAAAGTAGGGCACTAAATGCAAAATACTGCATATTTCCTTTTCTTTGGAGTTTCACAATACATTGTTCACCTCACTGGTTCAAATGTTCAGACATTTGTATTGTGATCTCTCTTTACATTCAGGTGAACATCCTAAATATTACACACTGGATCTTTAAGTATTCGAAATTCAAATTGTAGTCACAAACTCATATTCCCCGCAAGCTCAACTTTATCCAATTTTGAAGTAAAGCACTGTTCCCCTAATAATTCTCACTTTTAAATGGCACATTTATGTGGCTCATGATCTCATGTGTCAGTCAAAAGCATACTGAATAAAAACCTACATTCAGTGACTTTATGAACACTTGTAGGCAAAAGTCCAAACTGATGGTGAGAAAACAGCTCTAGTCTTACCTTCTTTAGTCAGGGGTCTCCTCACAACATACTGCCTAACGTCATCCTCCTTAGCCAGGTTGAAGAGCTTGCGGATCTTGCTGGCCCTCTTGGGACCAAGACGGCGAGGGACGGTGCTGTCGGTCAGCCCGGGAATTTCCTTCTCACCTGAGAATAACCAGATAAAGGGAAGATGAGTCAGACAATAGTGCTGATTAAGTTCAGAGAGTTCACTGCTTACATCTGAACCTTTTGCATGAACTTTACCGATTACTAAAATCAAAGTCAAAAACACAAAAAAGGTAGAGAATAGCCCAACGCACAAAATATCTCATCAGTGCCACACACACTGTCCTTTATTAACTTGAAACTGCACCAATGCCAAAGAATTAAATCACACTACAGCATTAAGTGATAATAAAAGAGCATCAGCTTTAGTATTCTTCTGACACACAATGAGAGAGCAAGTCAGTTCAACCATCCACTGACCCTGGATCTGGTCGCATCTGGTAAGCAGCTCCACAGTTAATCTGGCAACACGCTGTCCCCCCTTAATGACTATGGATGAGTCAGAAACGGTCTGCTGGTGTGCCATAAATGTAACGTACAAGTAATATAAAAGACTTCTATGTCAGCACTCCTTTAATCATCTCACACATCACCTGTGTAGCCTAAGAGTTATCCATTGTTTTTTTCCCCTCAGTATCCAATTTACCATTTCAATAAAACAGTCCACATCTTTAGCAAGACTAACACATTACCTTTCTTGACAATAACCAAGTTGAGAACGCTGAGGTTGGCGTCAACGATGCAACCGCGGACAGACTTGCGCTTGCGCTCGCCAGTCCTGCGGGGACGGTAGCAGGAGTGGCCCTTGCTGAGCAGCAGGCGCACACGGCCGTGGGTCAGCACACCCTGCTTCATGGGGAAGCCCTGCTTGTCATTGCCTCCGCTGATGCGCACCACATAACCCTGCATAAGTATAGAAAACAAGTTACTTCCCTGCTCTTCCATTTATGGTACCTGGAACGCAGTGTCTGAAAAAAAATGGATTGTTTGCACAAAACAAAAACATCACATTTTTAACTTAAATGTATTATTTTCCTTTAATACAGATACGGCTGCAAAGTTTGTGTATCTAAGGAATACGACTGATAGCCAACAGCACTTTATCAACCATGAGGCCATAATAAGCATGTGAATGTGGCTCAGAAGGTAGATTTGAAAGATTAAATTTTCAGCTCCTTCTGTCCACAAATTAAAATGCCCTTTATCAAAACAGTCAACACCAACTGTTTCCAACGACCACGTCAGAGCCGTGTACAGCCTCATCACAACTTTGCAAACCCAACGTTGGCATTTTGACTACATTTTGCAGCAGTCAGTCCATACCTACATTCAGACTCAACTCATGTTTTGCGGATGCAAGGAAATTGAGAGAGCAATGCTGTTACAATCAGCCATTGTCATAAGGTCTGATTGTATCTGTTAGCAGCTCCACAGTTACTCTGGCAACACGCTGTCCCCCCTTAATGACTACGGATCAGTCAGAAACGGTCTGCTGGTGTGCCACATTGTGTACCACGACTATACAACACATTAAACAAGTCAACTGAACTGTATCACAACATTACCTTCCACTCATCTCCCAGAGGGTCAGCAGCCACCTCAGTGGCCATACGCTTCTCGTAGAAAGTACGCAGCTTTCGCTCATCATCAACTTCAATCAGCTTCTGGCAGCCAGTAGCGGGGAATGAGATGTTCAGCTGGGGGAAGAAAAAAAAAAGGATTAGCAAATGTTAAATGTTAGGACTTGAACTTTTACTCATGTTGGGTTCCACATTGCCCTCATGCAGGCAGGTGGAGCAGGTAACATTAGCTGAGCAGGGAGAGAGACAGACACAACTGGAGGTACAGGTGGGTAAAAACACCCCTAACTCATAACTGTTGACAATGATCGGTTAACGTCACGTTGTGGTACTTAGAGAGAGAGTCAGTGACACTGGAGGCCTGTTAGCTTCTCTTCGTGCTAACAGTTCAGAGCTAACGTCGGTAAGCTAACGTTAGCATTAACGCGCCGGTTTAACGACTAACGTTATAAACAGACAACAACATCGTAAGTTTAAGTCACGTTTACTACAAAAGTTTTGAAATCTCGTATTGCAGTCAGCCGAGACTTTAACTGGGTGCACATTTCTCTCAGTGAGCCGCCATGTTTCTTCAGCTCACTAGCCGACAGGATCGTGAGCGCTGGGTCTTTTTTTTTAATCTTAAAATCAACGTTCATCCTTCGTATCGGAGCCGCGGATGCTGCATTTAACTAGTTCGCTTTAAAGTACACAATCATGGCATCAAACGTACACGAGTATTTATAAGAAAATAGCTTTCCAAAATGATTTATAGTTGAGGAAACATTGTACCTTCATTTTGCCAAACCGGCCCTACAACGGTCCGCCACGGAAAAGAGACCGGATATCCGCTTCGTGGTCTCACATAGGCCCGAAATGTTATCGCGAGAACTGACTCGCTGTACTTTTCTCATCAGACTCAAGCTGAAGGTTATTAAACTAATTCCACATAAAAAAAACTAAAGCCAGCGTACGCAGCTGCATTACACTGATTAACTG